CTGACCTTGTGGTTCAAACTGGCCTTGAGGTCAAGTGCTTATCCTGTGGCGCCACGGCCAGTGTTATCAAGTAGGTTCTGACTCATAGTGTCTGTGTGCAGGGTTTCTGAGGCTCTAAATCTTCATGGGAGCAGAAAGCCTCATCTTTTTCCCAGAGTTGCTGGTGGACTCAAAACTGCTAACCTTGTGGTTCGCAGTTCAATGCTTATCCTTTAAGGCTACCACACTCCCTACTGTGTATTATGTACATTTATCTCATTTTAACCTTCTGATAACCTTGATAGGTAGGCATTATTATTATTCCCATTTATAGAGAAGGGCCACCATTTGTCTGTCAGTTTTCTGTCTTGTGGTAGCTTGTGTGTTGTTCTGACCTGGAAGATATGCCACTGGTATTTCAAATCCAGCAGGGTCACCCATGATAGACAGACTTCAAGGGACCTTCAAGGCTAAGACTAGGAAGAAAGACCTGGTTATCTACTTCTGAAAATTAGCCAGAGAAGATATTCTGAATAGCAACAAAGGCAGGAGAGGTGCTCAGTGAGATGGATTGGCACAGGGACCGAAACAATGGACTCCAACGTAGCACTCGTCATGAAGACAGTGTAAGACGGGGCAACATTTTGTCCTGTTATAGATAAAGTCACCATGAGGTGGAGATGGCTCATCAACAAATAACAACAACAATACAGACAAGGAAACTGAGATGCTAAGTAACTTGCCCAAAGTCACACAGCTATCAAGTCTTAGGGCTGGGGCTTGGGCACAGAACTCATTTTAGTTGCTTGCTGTAGGTCAACGCATCCTTATCCACACTAATAAACAACAGAGGTCAAACAAAGGAAAGCCTTAGAATGAATCTCCCATCTTACTTATTTAAGTCAGCCCTTTACTCTCCATTCCCCTAACACTGGACAATGGGGACAGGAATCAGAAGATGCAGCTTCCAACTCCTCCCCCTGCCACTGTCTCTACTCTAGCAGAGGCCTTGAGGAGCAGTATAAAGGAAAGGCAGTAAGAGAAGTGAAAAGAGAAAAGGGAGGGGGGTTTGGATGTCAACAGATTGCAGAACCAACTCTTGGTTAATGATGGCTGTATACTGTAATAATAATAAAATGATGACGATGATAATAATAATAGTAATGGTAATAACAGTTATTAGATGTTGATATAGTGGCTCCACAAAGCCCAGTGTTTTGCAGAAAAGTCAGTTCCTCTTGCTTATGATGTTAAGGAACTGATATCACTTCCTGTGGCTTGAAGTCCTAAGCTGAGCGTGGGGCCCACATTACTGTGTCTGGAAGGAACGCGCCCTGTAAACAGAGTGAGTCAAGCTGGTGTGGTTTCCCTGGTGATGTGAACCTAGCTATCCTTCTGCAAAGCAAATACCCAGCACGTTCCATGCAGAGAATCAATGAACTGGGGCAGGCATTTCAGCTTTAATTATCTGGCTTCTTGTTGACAACAGAAATCTGAGAGAAAACAAACAGCCACCATGCTGTTTCAGGCTCTCTACCATCTAACGCCCTCTTGTCAAAACAGAATCTTTTTCAGATCAAAGACTGTTCTGAGGTTCTGAGGCATGGACAAGAAGAAGGGAGAGCAGATGTCCATGAGGAGGTCATGTACTGATTTCTTGGGAGCTGAGCGTTGTCCCCTATGTTTGACCTGTGCCTCTGCAGGCAGGGAGGGCAAGCTGAGTCAGTGTGACAGTTTAGGGACAGCTCAGGGGACCAGGCAGGACAAGCCATCTCCCTCCCAGTGCTCTCTCCTGCAGTGCAGTGGTCAGAGGGAAGATGGGACTCTGAAGACTTGCTGAGGGACCTTGAATCATTAAGGACACTTTCAAAGCCTCAAAATTGTGCCTACCTGGAAGGGTGTGAGGACCACAAGGATGGGAGATGGAACCCGTTCTGCAGGCAATAGTTTGGTCTTTTGGTCCTGGTATTGAGAACAGGACCACATCTGAGGCCACTGAGTGGGGGACCCACCTGACTAAGAGGGATGACCTGGGCCTGTGGTAAGGGCAATAAAAGACTAGGCTAGAGGGTGTGAATATCGGCTCATAGACGGGAATGTCCCTTAGGGACATGGAAGCTCTGTGCTGAAGAACACAACTTCCCCACCTGGCATCAGCCTGGGGGATTTGTTGTGGTGGTTTTTAAGTGACTCATAGCGACCCTGTATATAGTTTCCAAATTGTGGCTGGAAGGTTTGAACCACCGACCTTCAGTGCTTCTCCGACCATGCTACATCAGCCTGGAGGATAAGAGACTGACTGTTTATCAGAAGGCACTGGAACCTGCTGTAACCTTAGACCTGATAGAAGGCAGAATCAGGAGAGACAGCAGCAGAGAATGAAAAAAGTTGAAATCAGAGTTTGCCCAGCAGAGAAGTAGCAGCAGAAAGATCTGAGAAGAGGGCTAAGACCCAGCTCTGGGCTATGACAGGCAGCCGCAGAAACCCCATCTGAAAGGACCTGGGGTCTGGCTACAAAGCCTGGGTATGCCCTGTGTAGGGGTTGCCCTCAAAGCATGTCTACTTCTAGAGAGGTTGATCCATGACTGTTCCAAAGCTGTTGAGAGCTGGACCAGCATCAGAGAAGTGGGCAGATCCAGCTCAGAGATGTGCCAGCCCAGTACGTAAGAGTAGACATGGATTTCCCACCACAAAACTTATTTAAGAGTGGACGTTGATTTCTATGTCTCATTTGCTGTTTGCTTTCCTTGTACTAAAGCACTGGGAGAATCTTTTGTGCTCTAGTGCTGCTCAGATGAGTGAACAGCCAGTATGCACACCACAATAATAAATCTGTGTCGTTTCAGATAACCTTTGGGTGGGTGCATCACAGATACAGTGTATGCATGCTATGAACCAACTCAGTTCAGCATGTTGGAAGTGCTCCGCTTACAACCACACTCTTTTCTCTCTCTCCTCCTCCTGCTTCCTGACCTGACCTCCCAGCTGTGCCCTCATCTCTCCCTTCCAGGTCCACGTCTGCTCACCGAGCTGTGGCCCCTTCCGTCGCCACATTCAGCCTTGCTGTCTCCTTCTTGGTACCAGTCGAGAACCCAAGGATGTGAGGGTTGAACATCTTCAGAATGTCTTTAAGGAGGGAAGGGGTAGAGAGCACAGGTAAGAGACAGCAGAGGCCCCATGGGAACGCAGTGGGCATGCAGTGTTGGGTGTGAGGACCCTGGGTCTTTTCAGCACTGGCTGACCTCTTTCTTTGCAGATCACCCTTTCATCCCTTCCTCCAGGGAGAAGGCCTGGCCTTCCGAAGAGGTAGTAATAGCTATAGTGATGAATATTACCAGTGCTGCTACTTACTGGGCAGTGTGGTGTGGGTCTCCAACACCCCATCCCCTCCAATGCTGGAGAAGAGAAAGCACATTTGTTAAAAGGACACTTACCTTGTGCACCCCTGGCACATCGTTTCTGTCACCCTGAAGACTAACATCAGCATCAGGCTGATGGACAAAAGGAGGAGACTTGTCAATAGGAAATGAGTCAGGAATATGCTTACCTCCAGGAGAGTCCCCTCCAAGACATGAGGTCACTGGAGTTGCTTGGTCGGGCTCCCACTGCTGTCTGTGAAAAGCAAAGAGAAGTTTCTAGGCCTGAGGAATAGGTTGAGGGCACTGGGAAAGGCCCCTCTTGCCTTGGCATAAGGCCTAGATTTGCATTTTTCATTGACTTTTCTTCAGGCTGCCAGACCCTTGTTTTTTAAGTGCTATTGAGTCAGTTCTGACTCATGGAGACCCTGTCTAGAGTTTCCAAGGAGTGGCTGGTGCATTTGAACCACTAACCTTGTGGTTAGCAGCCCAGTGCTTATCCTGCAGCGCCACACCAGACTCCTTAGACTCTGAGCTGTCTTGACACATTCTTCTCCTCAATCTTCTATGCACAATCAGCAGTCAAGTCTTCTTAACTCTCCCCTCCTAACACCCACTTCTTTCTTTTTCTTCCTTTGCCATGTTCCTAGTGGGCCTTCTTCACACTATGGATGACACTCGGGTTTCCTACTTGGGTTTCCAGTCTCTGTTCCAATCTCACTAACTGGGATACTGGTACGTTCTTCTGAGAACACCTTTTTCTTCATGTCTCCCCGCTAATCTGATGTTCAGTGGATTTCCTACAGGGTCAAAGCTAAGCCCTGTCACCAACATCTGGCTTCTAGTTTGCCTCCTCCTATCCTGTCCACACAAACCTTCAGGATAGATCTGATCACAATTCTGAAACATGGAGACTTTGGGCTGTGTTGTTTCCACTATCACCCCTCCATCCCTTCCTGTAATGCTGAGCTCCTTTTCTAGTCCCTTAAATCTCTGATTCAGTCTCATAGACCAGGTGTGGGGAACATCATTTGGTCTGGCCCTGCCTAAGCAACTGCAGTTCCAGTCATCACATTGTTGTTGTTGTTAAGTGCCGTTGAGTCGATTTCAACCCATAGCGATCCTGATCCTGTATAGGGTTTTCAAGGAGCAGCTGGTGACCTTGAACCACTGACCCTGCAGTTCAAATGGCTTTGCAGTCTGGTGCATTAACCCACAGCACCACGACCAAATATAGCAGGCTAATTTTTAAGTTGATAATTTTATATGGCCTGCGACTGACGTCATAAATTTTGGCAGAAGAAAGATTCCCCACTCCTTGTCTAAGGAACTCTGGTAGCATAGTGTTTACTAGTTGGGCTGCTAACCTCAAGGTCAGCAGTTTGAAACTACCAGCTGTTCTGCAGGAGAAATGAGGCTTCCTGCTCCCGTAAAGATTTACAGCCTCAGAAACCCTATGCAGGGTCACTATGAGTCAGAACCAACTCCATGGCACATCGCCACCACCACCCCTTGCGTGTTCTTACTTTCACTATAAAACTTTGTCTAAATGCCCTGCCTTTAAATAATAAAAACAGAAATTCCTCTTAGACACTTATAAAAGTAGCATGTACACCATAATGAATGAAACAATACAAAGATGTTTTTAAAATGGATAATCCATCTTAAAATCTCACCCCCATCACCAAAACGATATCCCCTCCTTGCCCCTCACACACCTTTTTCCATGCTTATTCCAAAACACAAACACATTCACACAAATATAGGGGTGTTCTTCATTTTCACAGAATAAATACTCTATTTGGAAAGTCCCATATGTCATTTATATATCTCTTTCTGTGTAAGTCTTTTGTTTTCCCAACTGGACATGTTTCTTCCAAGACCTGATTGTGTCTCCTATTACTTTCCCCTCTGAATTGCTTGTGAGGTGTCTTGCACACAGCTCAACAGTTGGCTAATTCAACTCATTTAGTAAGGTGATGCTATATGCCCAGAATTGGGCTATCTCTTCTCCAAAGAATGCATCCTTCAGTGGGGGAAGGGTCATTGGCAGTGTCGGTAAGAACTACCACTCTGTGAGTCGGGGAGATGAAGGTGAGTTCCCAGATAACGGCATAGGTGTGACAACACACACATGGAATGCCTGGGAACAGCGAGGAAGGTGGAACCGTTTCTGTCTGGGGGTTGAGGAGGTCTCATGAAGGACAGTGTGTGTGAACTGGACTGTGGAAGGATGGAGCAGTGGGCTCTTCTAGTTTGCTTGGTGGTGTCCTGTGACTGCCTGGCTGCATTTTAGTGCCTGACACTAGTAATGGCTAAATTATTGAATGTGGGGTCAACATTCCATAAGAGCAGATTTTGGAAGGGGCCTGACTGTACTCCTTGAGGGGCCATCCATGGTTCATGGCTCAGTACTCACAGTCAACGAGTCACCCATGGCGGCCACCACTTTGATGTCTGCTGGTTGGAGCTTGTGAACTAGAGGAGACATACAAGAAGACAGATGGTCAGGGGATCTCCCTTTTGCAATGTAAGTTTTACTAGCAGTCTCTGACTTCTCTAGTCAACAGATCCCCTTTCACTTATTTCCTATATAAGGCTTTAGCAAATTTACTTCTTCCAAATTCATTTGGAGTAACCAAGACACTGGAGGTAATGGACTTAGTGACTATTGTTTATTCTGAGTAGAGCCCACTTCCCATTGGGATGGTCCAGGAAAGTTCTAGTTGCAAGGACTATGTAGGAGGGAAACTAGGGCCCCAACCTATTACTGGACCCATCTCACTGGACAAGGAGGCCTCAAGGACTGGAATTTGGACTACATGGAAATGAGAAGTGTGATTTGGTGGGCAGATCTGGGCTCCTTGACATGGGAGCCCAGCCATGGTTAAAGACCACTTTTTGTGAGCTGCCGAGGATCATGGTAATCAGCAAGACCTGACTGAAGCTCCAGGGTGTGTTTGTAGAGTCTCCCTCTGACTTGCCACATAACAAGACTCTTGATTGAAGGGGTGATGATGTTTTCACTCACCCGAGGTGGGAACTGTGTTGGAAGGTTTCCACCCTGTACACGGGAAGTCACTACCCCAGTTCTAAATCAAAGAGAAAAAACACAACGCCCAACATTCATTGTTCAGGGAGATAAGCTTCAATTAAGCCTGAGAACTAGCAAAAGAATTTTTGGTGGAGTCTAGAAATATGTCACTTAAGGGTGCATGGGAGGTTAAGAACTGTTTGTTATAGATGGACTGAAAGCCTTTCCAATCCCAAGTTATCTGCACTCTTAAATGGAGCCAGCAGCTACCCCAAATCAGGGGAGAAAATGATGAAATCATATAACCTCCCAAAGGAACACAGGATTTGGAGATTCTAGGTGGTGGTGTTTAACATTAAGCTAATTGACACTAATGAAAATGCTAGGGCCCAATCATAATTAGTTAAAATATTTTTAGGAAAGCAACATGAAACTTTTACAATCGCATATCTCCTGGATTCTGTAGGTATTTTCTTTATATGTGTAAACATATCTTTTGCATATTGAAATTCAGAGTACCAGTTCCTTGAATGTGCATAAGTTAATTTCTGCAACACTGGACACCTTTAGTCAAATTCCCCAGACTCTGTCGTATACAGCACAGAAATGGTTAGTGCCAGCAAGCTGAGGGAGAGAGAGCATCTCTTTCCTATAGTCCCAGATATCTGGAGGATCTAAGGGGCAAAGCCCAGTGCTGACATACAGTTTGTTGTTGTTAAGTGCCGTTGAGTTGGTTCTGACTCATAGAGACCCTGTATAGGGTTTCCGAGGTTGTAAATCTTTATGGGAGCAGAAAGTTTCATCTTTCTTTTGCAGAATGACTGGTAGATTCGAATTACTGATCTTGCAGCTAGCAGTCCAGCTCATAATCCACTACACTACCAGGGCTTTCTCCCTGACACACAATTGTTGTTTCTGTTAAGTGCTGCTGAGTCGATTTTGACTCATAGCGACCCTGTATAGGGTTTCCAAGGAGCAGATAGTGATTTTGAACTGCAAATCTTATGGTTCTCAGTCCAGTGCTGATCCTACAACAACATACAGTAGGGCTCCACAAATAGTGTTGACTGGTTCACTTATCTTCTGGGAACAGTGGATTAAGATCAAAAAGGTTAGAATTTATAGCACACAGGATAATTATGGAGCTCCTGGTGTGGCGCTGTGGGTTAATGCTCTGGACTGCAAAGTTGGTTTGAACCACAAGGTTCAGCCCCAGTTGCCATTGCTTAGTGACCCCATATGTGTCAGAGTAGAACTGTGTTTTAGTAACTGATCATTTTCACCCAGAAGGAGATCACTGGGTCTTTTCTCTGAGGTGTCTCTGGTTGAACTCGAACCTCTAACTTTTCATTTAGTAGCCATGTGCATTAACTGTTTGCAACCACTCAAGGACTCCAAAGAACCTAGGTCTGGATTTTTAGCTCATAGGCCATCAGAAGCAAAGATACACGAGGCTCCAAGAAGCCAGCTAGCAGGCCCAGGCCCGTTTTGCTCACCATAGTACGCAGTAATGAACACAGCACCTGATGCCTTTAGGCCTCCAATAAATAAATGTGAAATACATACACAGTGCACATGGTTCAGCACGCAACTAATAATGGAAAGATTTGCTGGTTTGAACACGGACACATACTCTATTGACAGGACACATCTGACATTTCAAATGATTGTGGCTTTTGGAGAGAGTCCAGAGAAGCTGGATGACTGTTCAACCCCCAGCTAGGAAGCTTTCTTCTCGCCAACACTCTTGCACACTGCTGCTAGCCCAGTCTGCTTCAAGTGTGGTTTTCATCATGACTTTCCTTTTGTTTGTTTGATTGATTTCCCCCCCATAACTTATGCTGTTGCTGAGTTAATCTCCTACTACAATTCCACAGGATTTTCAAAGCTGTGACTTTCAGGAAGCAGATCTCCAGGTTTGTCTTCTGAAGCACTTCCGGGTGGGTTTGAACTGCCAATCATTCTGCTATTGAGCACATAATTGTTTATGCCACCTAAAGACTCCATGATTTTCCCTTATTGCTCAAGAACACACCATGACTTCCCCGGGAAAGAAATCTTCTCTCCTCTGTTGCGTTTTGAGGCCCACCATCATTTGTCCTTTCACTACCTATTCAACTCCATCTCCCAAGAAACACCTTTGCCTCCCTTATGCAACTGATCTTCTTGTATTCTCCCCTTCTCCCTCTGAACCATGACTCTTTTGCTGCCTCTGTATCTAGGCTCATGCTGGTTCCTCCCTACTCTGTCCCATTCACTTATATCCTCTCATGCTCCAGTCTTACCTCCTTTCTGACTTACAGTGGTGTGTTCTTACTTCTCCCAACTCCAAACTCCTGTTAGTGCTCAGATCCCACAGATTAGCATCAGTTCTTCACTAATTTCATGTAAGTTGGTCTCCACTCTTATAAAAGGATGTCCCTCACTCTTACCTCTCTCTAATCCACTTGCCACATAGCAGCCATGAAGATGCTTTACAAATTTGATCCAGATCCTCCAATGGCTTCCTACCAAGCTTAACCTAAAATCAATCTTCTTATTGAGGGACTCAGGTTCTGAGTGATCTTCCCTCCCCCCTCGTTTCATCTCTGCCTCATTCATATGCCCCACCACCATGACCTTCTTTCTCTTCCTCAAGTATACCTAACTCAGCCCCATTTATGACCCTCTGTGCTCCCAGGCCCTTCTGTTTGGGACTTTCCTCAGGCTTTGCAGATAGCCAGTACCTTTTCATCAAAGCTCACCTCCTCTCAGAGGACTAGCCTCCATAACGAAATGAATTGTCCACCTCAGAGCTGCCCTCACTATCTGAAGGGATCTTGTTTCTTCATTTGTTGAGCTACTTCCTGAGATCTCTCTCTACTAGATTATTAACTCCCATGAGGGCTGGGACCCATATGTGTAGTTTATTGCTCTATCCCAGTTGTGGGACAGTTCCTGGTACATAGTAGGTGTTGAAGAAGTACTTGTGGAATGACCTCTAACTCCCTAAGGGAAGGCCTAGGCCTTGTACTTCTCTGAATCTCCTACAGCCCCTCGAACAAGACTGGACATACCAGAGGTGTTCAAATAACCTAAGTGACTGAGCTCCTGCCCTGGAGACTGACAGACCATTTTGTAAGGTCTAACGTGGTCCAGCATTCTAGAGGTCCACTTTGGAGTAACCAAGAGTTCCCCCTGCAGTCCTAAAATCCATGGGCTCTGAGTCCTTTGTGATTCCCTCAGGGCTTGCCCAGATGTGCATCCGCTTCCTGTTAGGCCCAGCCCCTAGAATTGAGATTTCTTCCCATTTGGCTTCCACCTTACAGGAAGTCGATGGTGCATCATAGTCACTGCCTCCTTCTCCCTCTTTCTCAAAAGGCTGCACGGCCTAATCGGAAGCAACGTCTATGAACATATGACTGCTAAGTTCAAACAAAACTGATCTGGAGGCATTTCCTGCAGGTGGTTGCTGACAGCAGGTAAGCACTTGTGGACATGTTGAGACAATGCTGGGAATTTGTGGTTTGGGAACATTTTTGTACATTCCAACTCCAAGTCTGTAAGATGGGTGCACTTCTGCATAAACTAACATCCTGAAACCTGCACCACTGCCCAAGTCACCACAGGTGGAAACAATTTGTGCCGGAGAGAGCCACACCTGGGCTGGAGGTTATTACCTCAATGGCTGGGTCAGAGGGGTATGTGTAGTTGCTGTTCCGAAAGGTTCCCAGGAAGGGCGCATTCTAAGAGAGAAAAGAAACCACAGGGTTATGTAACAACACTGAAGCTAGTTTAGGAACGATAAGGACTAACAATCCTGTCTTCTAGGTTTACTTCACACATTGCTGCATTTTCATTTATTCACTAGAGGATTTTACAGGAGAGCTTAGACTAGGGCTGCTCAAGAAAAGGATTCAGTATATTATTTTAAAGGAGCTCTGGTAGCATAGTGCTTACAAATTGGGCTGCGAACCGCAAGGGCAGCTGTTTCACGGGAGAAAGATGAGGCTTTCTGCTCCCATGAAGATTTACAACCTCAGAAACAATGTGCAGGGTCGCTATGAGTTGGAACTGACTCCATGGCACATAACCACCACCAACATATTATTGTAAAGTGGGCTTCATGTGTTTGTTTTTGCCTAAGTAATTGACAATTCCCTAATCCTCAGAATTAACCATTTTCTTTCCTTTATAATTTCTTTGGCAAGAGCTTCATGCATTTCTCTCTTCCAAAATGTGTTATGATTATCAATATGTTTTGTTGTTAAGTGCAGTCAAGTAGGTTCTGACTCATATCAATCCTGTATAGGGTTTCCAGGAAGCAGTTGATGAGCTTCAACTGCCGACCTTGAGGTTCAAACCAATCTTGTAGTCCACTGCATTAACTCACAGCACACCAGGACTCTGTTATTTCTCTCTTTTTACTTCCTTTGAACTGTATGTCTGATCCCCTTCAGGTTGGCTGCAGATATTTGGGTCAGTATTTTTTCTCAGGAAACATCCTCTTTATTCCCTACCAGCCAATTTCATGATTGGTTTTTCACACAAGCCTTGTCAAGAATCCAAGGCCATCCAGTTTCAGGTGATGGGTTAATCAATCAAAGAAGAAAGAAGTAATAAAGAAATGGGGAGATCAAGCTAACGAGGAAAAGCAAGTTAATAGTAAGATGGAGATCAGGAATTACCAAAGTGGGCCCAGGGCTGCGGATACTTTCACTAAAGGTTTATTTATAGTGGAGCTGAAAATTTGGGGATAAGTGGGAATATGAAGGAAGAATCAGAATGTTGGAGAAGCGGGCCTTAGAGATCAATTCCAGGGGTTGAAAGCGGACCGCCCCAAGCTGAATCAGGTCAGGCCATGTTTTGTTTTATTTTGCTTTATTTTAACCAGGATGGTACTTAAAAAAGAAAAAGCAGCCCAAAGCTTTTAGAAGGAGAGAGCTTTGTTCAGTTCTGGCCCTACCACTTCCTCTTGCCTTAGACTTGACCCTGTTCACACAATCATGTGCTCATCTGGCATTGAGAACATCTGGCTTTGTAGTCCATGAATGCCCTCATTTTTAAGACGAGGAACAACTGAGCCCCAGAGTGGGGCAAGGACCTATACCTGACATTAAGTAGTGAGTGCACAGCTGGAGTCAGGACCTGTTCCAACTAGTCTCTAGCTTGTTTCCACTCCTCACACCAGGAGCAGGCTAACAAAAGACGCTGCTGGTGTCACAAACAGGGAGAGAATGACAGGGACTCAGCAGTCATCTAGAAAGACAGTCTGTGTGCTTAAACTCTCAGCCTCCAACACAGGGCACCGGACAAGCCTCTCTTCTTCCTTCTAAGCATCAGCGTTCCTCTCTGAAACATAGTCAGAAGAACATCCTGGTCCAAAGGAAGGAAGTCCGCCCTGGACCATCTTCAATAGCTGAAGGCAGAAGAGAGCTTTCAGAGGCATGTCTGCTTGGCTAATAAGGTTTGTCTCAGGTTAGTGTTAGGAGTCCTGGGGTGGCACTGTCTGTAAGGTCAACAGTTCAAATCTACCAGCTGCTCCTCAGAAACCCTATACAGGGTTGCCATGAGTCAGAACTGACTCAATGTCGCTTAACAACAACAACAGGTTAGTGTTATTTATCATCCCCCGAAAGCTCACCTTCTATAAATAACTGACCAATGTGTGTTGAGCATCTTATGTGTCCAGAGCATTATTCTGGGTGCTAAGAAGAATGGGATAATACAAAGAGGCTTACAACCTAGTTGGGCAGATAGATGTGAACTACTATTACGAGGCAGTGAAGCACCAGAGAATACCATGCCCAGTAAGTGCAGTAACTGCTGAGGAATGCCTGCAAGATCGCTCAAAGACAAGACTCAGTGGAATGTGTGTGCAATACACTAATAATTGTTCTCTTCCCACTTCAAGGGATCCCTGACTGGGGCTAAGTATTAGAAAAGTGATGATGTCTCCACAAGTAATTCTAAGTAGCAACATTGCTAAGCAATAATGTAAATATAAGAGTGAGGAGTGCAGTGGGGAAGGCTCAGAGCTCGCTTTCAAGGCATTTGGCTTCCTCTTGTTCTTTTTCTCATGACAGAAGACTGGATGAAATATTAAATGAAATGATCTCAGTCGCTATCTCATCATTGTCTCCATCTCTCTGGTTCTCATGCTTTGTTGATACTCTCAGACTATCCATTTAGCCAGCCTTTGGTCTGGAGTTTGAGAAAGAAGAAATGAAGATGCAGACTGAGGCGTCACATGCAAAGAAGTTTAACAGGAAACCTGGAAATGGAGAAATCCCAGAGTGAGGGGATGTGGAGAGAAAACAGAAGATGGCTAAAGACATGAAGGCTGAGAAATGTCCCCACTTTAGAGGTTGGGAGAAGGGTCATTAAAAGAGACAAGAAGGGGCAACTGACAGTTTCTTCGAAGCCTAAGAAATCATAGACAGATGGTCCAGGTTGGGGAAGGAGCGGACAAAGAGGTAATTAAGGCAGTGAGAGGAAAATGGTCACAGTACACAGAGTGACAAGTCAAATGTTAACTGTGAAATAATTTGTCCAGTCTTCAAGTGCAACAGAACTCTATGGAGTGATGTGAAGGGCCCTCCCTGGCACAACAGAATGTAATTGTAATTTGACTGGGATGGAGGAGAAGAGAAGAGGCTGAGAACGCTTCTCATTGCTTCATATCCACTTTGGCTTCCTCCTCCCCAACTGAGTCCTGCCTGTTGACTCTTGTTTCTATATTTAGACACAGCTAGTACTAAAATACATGCTGCCTGGCCCTTGTTAGCTCACACTGAGATGCTGGTGGGCTTTTTATATAGTTCCAAGCACATGGGAGGGAGCAGATGGGACCTGTGGAACACAGACTGCCTGGTGCAGTGAAGACGGGCTGGCCAACAGATGGACCCTTATGGAAAGGGCTCCAGGGTTGCCTAGCAACCATATCTCTCAGCCTCTTCTACCAGTTCCAGGAGGTTGGATGTGCTCCACTATGTTCACCAATGGCTCAATCAGGCTCTGTCAAAGAGGGAGGAGCTGAATGTACTGTGGCTTGAGATAATGGGTGGAGGATTAGGCTTTCTGGACTTCCTACCTGGTCTGGACAGAGTGGCAGAGGCTACCTTGAAGCCCGTGGTACCAGGGCTCTCCCTGACCCAGTGCCTAGGCTCTAGCTTGGTGTTTAATGAAGAGCACATGATAGCTTCCTGTTATAGTGGTGGTGGTGGTACTGTGCCATTGGTTCTGACTCATAGTGACCCTGTTCAGGGTTTCCAAGGACATGAATCTTTATGGGAGCAGAGAACCTCATCATTCTCCTGTGGGGCAGCTGGCCTTAATGATTAATAGCCCATTGCCTAGCCAACTATGACACCAGGGCTGTAGTCCCTGGAATGTTGTTGTTATGTGCCGTGAAGTCGGTTCCGACTCATAGTGACCCTGTACAGGGTTTCCGAGGTTGTAAATCTTTACGGGAGCTGAAAGCCTCATCTTTCTCCTGCGGAAGAACTGGTAGTTTCGAACTGCTGACCTTGCGGTTCACAGCCCGATTTGTAACCACTACGCTACCAGAGCTCCTTCCAGTCCCTGGTACAGGTAGCCATTATTTCTATTATTGAATGGGGAGTGTCTTTCATGGATGATACTCAGTATGGCCATGTAGGCTGTTGACATCTTGAAATGCTTACCTACAGGATACTTTGCAGCCATTGCTCTGAGTCCCCAAATATCCCTACTACCCAGGGGCCTCAACCCCTCCTCCAGGAATCCCTGAACATCTTTAGCATCTAGCAATGAAAGGGTTCACACCTGGCACAGTAGGGGGCTCTAGAACTTTGCCCTAACCCTTTGGCCAACATCTGTTCATTTGGACTGGAAAGCGTGTTTCCCTAGAGGTAACAGAATTTGAATAGCCCTCTAACTCAAATCACAACACAGCAACTGAGCAATCGGGTACCATTACCTTCCTGTACCTCCCCATCTTTCTTCTCCTGCTGACTCTTGCTTGCCAGTGAGGCTGATGAACCACAAGACAGAGATGGAGAAGGCAGCAGATAGGGAGCATGAGCCAGGGGATGAGGTGCCCACTTTCTCAGGAGCCCCATAGATACATGAGGCAGCAGGTCTATTTCCTGGCCGCTGTCCAGCCAGGAGGATGGAGAAGTGATACAGCTGGACCCAGGAGGGAAACCTGACCTCCTACATTGGGTCAAGCCCCTCTACTTATACTGCTGCTCAGGATTCGCTGGGTCTTATTTGGTTAGCCCTTTCATGACCCATGGGACATATAACACCCACCACATTTTCTGCTTCTCAGATTTCTTTGGAAGCTGCTCACCCAGTTGTAGTACATGCTACTGCCTAGTAGGGACCTGTATAAACTGCATGAATCTGAAGAAATGAGCCTCACCCCATCAGTCCTATCACTGGAATTCACGTGGGATGTATATGTCCCACATAATTGTATCCAAATCCATATGGCCTCAAAGATTTCCCCTTGATTTTAGGCATGCCTTCTGTTGCTTACAACATACAATATCAACAACAAAACTTCAAAACATAAATAATTCAGTCATAAAAGGGTTAAAAAGCCATAGAAAAGGAAGTTCCACATGCCCATGGAGGTTGATCATTTGAACCCACAGAGCAGTTCCATGCTCCTGTAAAGATGAAACCATTGCCATTTAAGTGATTCTGACTCAGTGACTTTATAGAAAAGGGTAGAACTGCCCCATAGAGTTTCCAAGGCTGTAAACTTTATGGAAGCAGGTTGCCACATCTTTCTCCTGACGTGTGGTTGGTAGGTCCAAACCACCAACCTTTTGATTAGCAGCCAAGCACTTTAACCACCATTCCACCAGCACTACTAAAGGAAGTTCAAGGTGATGGGAACATGTACCTGCCCCCACTCCTAGGCTTGAAATCAAGTTTAACAACCACTCACATACTCTTCCTTAAAAGGAGCCCTGAACTGAATCCTCATCCAGTTTTTACCAGACAATCCTACTGGCTCCTCCTCCACACAGCTCTCAGCAATCCCCTTTGCTGCTCTCCTCTCTGACCTTCTCCTGGCTGGGAAATCCTTAAGCCAGCTCTGCAATCTCTAACCACAACTATCCCTCCAACCTGCACTTAGACTTTTCCCATCTGCCCCAAATGCCACTGCTAAAAGGAGTCTGCTTGACATTCTTCTGGCTTCTTGATTTCCCTTCTCAAGAAACCACCTCTCTCACTCCATCCTCTCCCAGCTGCTTCTCCCATTCTCTAAGAAATAACCGCTTCTGTGCCCTCTTCCCATGTCTCTGAAGCCCATCTCCCACAACTCCATTGCTGATATTGGTCTAAGGTGTGTGGGGAAAGGTGGGCAATGTGGAAATCTGGAGGAGGCTGTAGGGAGGAGGGTGAGGTCTGGGATCTGGAAAGGAGAGACAACAGATCCTCCCTTATTACCTGAGTTGGGCAGGACAGGAATATATTTGCTGCCAGATTCAAGGTATCCGTTTTCTTTCCTAGTGGCTGAAGCTGATGGGGAAGAAAAGGAAGAGATGGGTTTCTGCTAAAGTCAAATCCCCTGGCAGCCTACTGTAGAGAGGAGAGCTATGAACTTGATTTCAGGGAATCTAGTTTGCACTCCTGGCTCTGCTATTTGCCAGCTATGGGCATTGGACAGGTCTCTTAGCTTCTCTAAGATTCAGCTTCCTCACAGATTGTGAATACTTCCCTTGTAGACCTGTTGAAAGACTGAAGTGATATAACATGGCTCACAGTACCTAGCACAGATGTTGGCACGTATGAAATGTTGAGTAAATGTGAGGTTTCTGCCTCAAATGCACATGGAGAAAAAAAAAATGTACTGGAGGAAAGCCTCTTGTCAGTTTCCAATCCGGAGGAGAGGGAGGAAACGAACCTGGGCTGAGCAAATTCTGAAGGACTTTATATTTAAAATTCTACAGACTTCTCTCCTATTCAGAGGAAGGTTCACAACAAGGCTTCATTCTGTAGGATTGGAATGGGCTGGTGCTATGCCCTAGAGGACCCAGTGAACCAGGGAAAGTCGCACACTCATTTTACCATATTGCTCCAAAGGGCCCTGGAGAGCTGGGCGTGGAATTTCTGACTTGGGTGGATGCAGTCTGGGGCGAAGAAAGATGTATCCGGGAGCCCATCCTGAAGAAGAGAAACAGACTTTCTCAAGATCCTGTTGGTTCAGATTGGTCCACTGCTCAATGCCCTCCTCCCCTGGGAGTGCCTCTATGGTGCCTGCTTACCTTAAGATGGGGATCATAGTGACTGGCCTTAGGTAACCCCTAACCCCCACCCTCTAGTCATGCTACAATTTTCCCTTATTTAATCAGAAATCATCATATTTATAGTTAGATACATTCATACACTTCCCTCAAAACAACAAAAACAAGTCCATTGCTGTGGAGTTGATTACAGCTCATGGTGATGCAGTACATTGCAGACTAGTAGTTCAGCCCCATGGGATTTTTGTGTCTCTAATCTTATGTCCTGGTGTGGTGCTGTAGGATAAGCACTGAACTGCAAGGTCGCTGGTTCAAGCTCGGCAGCTGCTCTTCAGAAATGGCATTTAACAACAACCTTTATGTAAACAATCTTAACACTAACCTAAAGGTTGGCAGATTGAAATCACTGGATGATTTCAATCTGCCAACCTTTAGGTTAGTGTTAAGTGCCATCAAGTTGGTTCTGACTCATAGTGACCCTACATAGGGTTTCTGAGAGGCAGCTGGTGGGTTTGACCTTCTGACCTTGTGGTTCACAGTCCAGTGCTGTAGTTACAGTGCCACACCAGGAGTCAAGCACAAATCATTTGCACCACTCAGAGTGTTCTATTAACCCTAGCTATGCCATAGGTGATGAAAGAATTAGCTCCTTGTCAATGAGGAAACCTGGCCAGCCAGCTGGGAGAAGCCACTTTGCAGTGCTTGACCAGTTGGTCCTTATGGTGTTGAGGGTGGGGTGAGAATCTGGGCAGACTTGGGCACAGCCATTTACAGGGCACCATGCCACCTGACTCCAACTTCTTCTCTCCTGATGTTCTTGAGTGCACAAAGTTTCTCTCCTTCTAACTAGTCCTCCAGTTAGGAGAGACCCTTAGTAGAGGCCCCAATAGGCAGAATTCAGTCCTCACCGTAGTCCACTCATAGAGCTCAGCTGTTCAGGCAAAGAGCACAGTCGGGTTGCAAATGTAATGCACAGACTCTTCCTTTCTAACTGCAGAGTCATGTGTGGAGGGAGAACGTGTATGGGGCAGAAAGTTAATCACTTGGAGTTATGTTATTAATTGCTGTTGAGTTGGACATGAATTGCAATGTTGCCTGGTCCTGGCACCATCTTCATTTCATTGTATGTTTGAATCCATTGTTGTGCCACTCCACCTCATGGAGAGTTCGCTCATTTTCATCGGCCCTTTACCTAGCATGCTGCCTCTCCATCCTTGATGACCTTGAGGACTTTAGGAAAGAGACTTCACATCTCTGAGCCTATTAAAGGAGGATGATAATACCTCAAAAGGAGGTTATGAAGGTTTAGTGTATGAGAAGCATCATGCCTGGCACATAATAGATGCTTGATAAAATGGAGATTGTTTTGGGTCATAATGGAAACTTCCCACATCAGGCTGTCTCTGAGGATGCAGGCCAAATGTTCAAGGAGTCTGCATCCCCCAGAACAGCATCTGGAGAGCAACTCTCTCCTGTCTGTATCTTTCCTATTTGGAAGCCTTGAATGTCGTCCTCGAAGGGTGCCATGGCAGGCTCTCCTCTGGAGCCCTGTGGGTGTGGGTAGGTATCATACCTCCAGTATGGGGAGTTGGATGTTATGAAAGAAGGGCTGCAGAACCACAGTGAAGTCCTCCCGGGTGTCATAGCGGCCTGACTCCACCAGCTCCCGCATGCTGTCCTGGGGGCACACACAATACCTTCAGCACAGGCCATCGGTAGGCTGAACCCGCAGGGGCAGGGACAGGGGTAGTGGGCAGTGTGGTGACAGCTCTGTCCCTGGCTCCCTGGACAGCAGCTGCTAGGCTCACCCTGTCATTCCCATGAGAACACACACATTTGAATACAAATCCCTTTCCAGAGACTTGGAAGCAGGTTGGGCCACATTTTTGTTTGGGTTTTAGGACTGCAAACTCAAATGGGCTAGGCAGGAAGTCCGGCAAGGAACAAAACCTTGGCAGCGGTCTCCAGAGGGGCCCTCAGCAAGCAGTCTTGCACCCTTTCTCCTGGTGGTCCACCTGTGGAGGTGTGGGGCCAGCTGGGGTGGGGAAAGGGGACTTGGGATAGGAGGTAGAGGAAATGGGTTGGGACAAGGGTGGTGGCTGGACCTCCAGAGTGCAAGGAGAGAGAAAGGTGTTCCCCCGGGGTGTCCAGTGCTACTGTCCTCGTCAGACCTAACATTGGGATGAGCTGGCAAGGGCAGCTGGGCCAGTGGGCCAGAAGATTTCATTGCAATGACTCTAACATGGGTTCTGAGGCACCTCAGCAGGGTGGGATGGTGGAAGGGGCCCAGGATGGCTGGGTGTCTCCTCTCAGTAGCTCTCCCCTTTCCTATGGGTCTCCCCCAGGGGAGCTCTGGCCCGTGTTTATTGATGAGTGGTTTGAAGAACTGTCCTTCAGGGTCTCACCTGGTAGGCTTGGGTGATGACCTTCAACCTGGCCAGCTCTTGGGAGTTCTCCGGTGGGCTCAGAACACAGTCACACAGAAGACTGCACAAAGGGAGAGGAAGGAGAACCCAGAGCTGAAGCTTCTGATGGCACAGAGGCCTGGCCTCTGGGTGGGGGCTGGCTTTTACTGCATGGAGGGTGGCTCTTTGGCACCCTGGCCCAGTCTGCTTTAGGAGCACATGTGCTGTGAGGTTGGATATAATGCCAGAGACAAGTATTTGGCCTGACGGGTACAGGATAAAATCCCACAGGAGGCACCTGACGTATGAGTAACCACGTTTTCACATGAACAGAGTATAAGTTGTAGGCTGCAGGTGCTAGGCTTGCCACAGATTACACTGAGCCAATGAATTTAGTCAGTGAAAATTCAACATTTAATTAAAATTTAAACACATCTCTGGTATTGGTGCTAGTATATGGGGGCCTTTGACGTTCATGCCCTTAGACAAGTCTTTAGTTCACACTAGTATCCTACTTCCTTATTAACACCTATCTGCCATTTAAATTTTTTTTTAATGAAATATTTCCTACTTACAAAATAGACTTCCTACATTAAAGAGATCAGAGAAAGTTAAAGCATTCAGAGTTAGGAAAATATTTGTTAAATGTACAAGAAGGCTTCAAGAAGTTCATGGAGAAATGGACTTAAAGATAATGAACTTTTCCACGAACTTGTTTTTTTTTAATGTTTTATTGTGAATTATGTGATAGTTTACATGGGAGAACATTAATTTACATTCATCCTATCGTATATCGCTTTATTACCATGGTTACAATACCCTCCATGCATCATCAACCAACAAAAGGGTATGCACTACAAGCCTGGCCCTTGGTCGTCAGCACACAGCCCCTCTCCCTCTCTGTGTCTAAAGTCCCCATCTGCTCCATCTCTCCACGTCATCCACGAACTTTTTCAAGTCCCTCGTATGCATAAGGAGCCCTGGTATGGGGCTGTAGGATAAGCATTGGACTGCTAACCTCAAGGTTGCTTGTTCAAACCCACCAGCTGCTCCTCAGAAACCCTATACAGGATTGCTATGAGTCAGAACTGACTTGACTAATGAATGATAAAACACATACCCGTGTACCTGCCACACAGCTGAAGAAACAGAACATTCCCAGTTTGAAGTTTCCCTGTGGCCACCCCCCAGCCCCAATTCTCTCCTTCTCTATAAATTCAACTGTTCTGAATGGCATGTCTTACTTCAGGTACATTTTCCTGCTTTTGGATATGTTTTGACCATACATGTATATGCGCTCTATGTTGCCTCTTTACATAGTCTGTGCTATATCCTCTCTCAGAAACTAGCCTTTGTCCAGCCTGACCTCACTGCCTGTGACTCACCCAGGACCACAGAAATTCCTGCCTGGCACCCTGAGGTTGAGTAAGGTAGTAGGTATGGGGTAGGGGAAGGCCATGGCTCTGACCTTCAGGAAGAGGCTGATCCTGACACAGTACCCCTCTATAGACTTAGACACATGGACAGTCAAGACACCAAGATCCTGAGGAGACTAGATGCAAGCACTTGCCCCTCTGGAGCAGCCAGCACCTGCCTACCTGGCATTCTGCACTGGGCATTTGCTTGGATTTCCCAGGAACACCTGCCGTATGACACTGGGGTTCATGAAGTCCACGAGGTTGACCAGAGCTCTGGGCACCTACAGCAAGGCCACAGATGAGAGAGGGGTTCTTAGAACTGCTTCCTCAAGCTGCTTTAGTGGCCTGAGAAGTGGGAAATGGCTGGAGGGCCCCTTTAGAACCCTAGCTCAGTGCCCTTCCACCACCACCCCCCCCCCCGAAGTGCAACTGTGGGGAAGGATGTGGACGAGGTTACCATGGAAGGCCCTGTAGGTTGTGCACCACACAACTCCACAAGTGCCGTCCACATGGGCTGCATGCAGTGCGAATGGTGCCTCCTGCAGTGGGACAGCATGGTGACCCAACTCTAAATGTTGAGGGTTCAGCTCAGTTCAGCCATCATTCAGTGAGTCCTAACATGCTTACTTTAAATTTGGTGAGATGTGTAACCTGCCCCACAGCCAGGACATTGGCCCTTGACCATTTATTTCCCTCTGGTCCAATCAGGCCTATCTCCATTGAGTAGACATGGGGACTCAACCACTGGAGAAGCACCTGGCAAGTGGTGCTCCCTCTGGGCAGCTGAAGCAGCCTGTCCTTGCCAGGGGACAGGGAGAGGACATGCTGCTGGGTACAGGACAAGTGAGGGAGTTGTTCTAGCTGCACCCTATGTCTTAGAACACAGTGCCCCAGCCTGGTGCCAACAGAGAGGAACTCCCAACCAGTTCTCGCCACCAGGGACTGTCCTGGTGAGGGTGGGGTGCTTAGTGCAACACATACAGCTTCTGTTCTTCAAGCCTCAGATCCTTCTGGGCTTTAATTCCTTGGGACAGCCTCTAACCTCTGGGAAGCGAAGGCACTCATGCCCTTGGCTTTCTAGGGGAAGAGGGACTCCCACCACGTGCCCTCACTTCCCTGACAATCTTGAGCTATGCCAGGTTGTGGAAATCTCCCACCCACCTCTTTATGCAAGATGTCCAAGGCATTGAGGAGATGGTAATAAAAGTTGGTTTCAGAATACAGATTCTGGAAAAGACAAAAGTGAAAAGGGGAAGAGTTGGTTAGGATGGGTGGGCAGTGGGGCAATGCAGGCTTCCCTCTTGATTCCAGCCCCAGAGAGTCCCCTCTGACTTCCAGCTGTGACTAGCTGTCCGAATCCGAGATGAACCATAGGCTATTTCATGTTGTCAAAACTGGGCCAGCCAGCAGACTACAGCCTCCAGCCAGAGCTTTATTTCAGGAGCTGAAAGTAGAGGGTCCAGCTCCCAACTCATTGGGGTCTATAGTTTCTTCTTTTCTGGAGTTGTAAGAGTAGGGTGTGGTGGTAGTGGTGGTGTGCCATGGAGTTGGTTCTGTCTCCTAGCAAGCTTGCTAAGATTTCTGGAGTCCTGATGTGGTGCTGTAGGGTAAGCACTCGACCATAAGGTGGGTTTGAACCGCAAAGTTGTTGGTCAAACTCACTCCTTGGAAACCCTATACAGAGCCGTTATGAGTCAGAACCAACTCGACGGCACTTAACAACAATCTAGGGTTTCTAAGGCTGCAAATCTTCATAGAAAGCTTCATATTTCTCTGGCAGAATAGCTGGTAGATTAGAACTGCCGACCTTACAGTTAACAGCTCAGCTCATAACCCACCATGTTACTAGGGCTCCTTAGAGTAGGGTGTATTGTTGTCATTGTTGAGTGTTGTCAAATCAGTTCCAACTCATAGCAACCTTATATAGGGTTTCTGAGGAGTTACTGATGAATTTGAACCACTGACCTTGCGATTCAAGCTGACCTTGTGGTTCAGTGCTTATCCTAGGGTGTAGAAGCACCATATATCTGCCACACATACCACTTGGGACACAAAGGAGGAGCCAGAAATCTGAGGGTCATGGTGTAAGGCCTGTGTGTATGTGTACATACACACATAGGTGGAGGTGGACAAATCCTAGGGTTGAGCTAGAATCTGTTCTCAGATAGGACCTCCTAAGGCCTACCATGTAAAATCAGGAGCAAGAAGTAGGCATGGCCCCGCCCCCTTACCGGGTCCTTGCAGTAATCACAGAGATCGTTGCCACCAATCAGCACCGTGATGATCTTCCAGTCTTCTTGGAAATTTACTCTCTATGCAGAAGGAGGAGAAGGATTTCCTGATGGTCTCCAAACAAACAAACAAAACCTCACAGCTCTAGCACATTCACCCCTGCCCCTCCCCACAACTTCTTACCCGCTTAGAATAGTAGACTCAGAATCTCAGAGTTGAAGGAATTTTAGAGGTTTATTTTAGAGGTCTATTTATAGACCACAGAATTTTAGCAATCTATTCGGGACAGGCCTAATAAGTTGGAAAATTCATTTTTGTAAGCAAACATGAGTCTGACTCACTTGGTCCTCTTTCATCCTCTGCACCAGAGTGTGCACTTGGCGTGAAAGGTCCCTGAGAAGGAGAGAAAATCAGTGTCTTTATTGAGGAGGCCCCATGTCCAGAGTTTCCCTCCCAGAGACCTAAAATGGAGGCTTCCTGGCATTCTTTGGCTGTGAGAGCTGGCAGAGACCCTGAGGCCCTGGGATGAAGAGAAGCCATATGCGGGTGCTTGCCACTTCTGAAGAGGCTTTGCAACAAATAAACATTTGAAAAGCCAATTAATTGTGTGTTTGTTGTAAAGGTGTAATCAGTGCTCATGGGCTTCACATGCACAATCTCCTTGAGGATTCCATGCCAGGAAACCATTAGTCTCTTCTGAAAGACTTGCTGTTGTTCCTTAGTGGCATCATCAAGTCAATTCTGACTCATAGCAACTCTGTGTAGGGTTTCTGAGGAGCAGCTGATGGGTTTGAACTGCTGATCTTGTGGTTCACAATCCAATGCTGATTCTACAATGCCACACCAGGAGTCTGAGACTTGTTAAGTGCCATCGAGTCACTTCCGACTCATAGCAAGCCTGTTTGAACCTTGAGGTTCAAACGGACCTTGTGGTCCAGAGCATTATCCTACAGCTCTCATTGTTGTTGTTAAGTGCCATCAAGTCAATTCTGACCCATAGCGACCCTGTATAGGGTTTCCAAGGAGCAGCTGGTGAGCTTGAACCACCGACCTTGCAGTTCAAATGACTTTGCAGTTTGATGCATTAGCCCACAGCGCCACACCAGGACTCCATATATATCCTCAAATCAGAACGATGAAAGTTTTAATATTTTTATTATTATTTTTTTCTTTCCTTTGGTTGCTAGGGAACCAAGAGTCTGAAGCTCAAACAGCCCATGTACAAGCCTTCATTTGACACAATTGCTTCCTCTGTTTTCCCTCTCATAGTTGTGGATTTTACTCTTGTGTAAATGTTAATTTTTGTAAACTTATCTACTGCTTTTAGAACATTTTGGGATTTATAACCCACAGGAGGAATTGATTTCAGCACTCTGCTTTCCTATCAGTTCAGGCCCCATTCCAAGCCTGGGGTGCAATGGATCCACAGCACAGTGATCCAGGGGCTATGGCAGTGGGATCACTTGTCCCCTCCAGTTTCAATTACCCAGAAAAGTCTTCCCTGGCCAAGTGACCTGCTCTGGGTCTCACACTCTGGAACTAGAAGGGTATGGCTCTAAACAAGATGGCATGTGACAGAGCAAAGAGACCCAGGTGGGGTGGGGGCTCATGGAGTAGAGTGAGGGCCATCATTTGAGCTTGTGGTTGGGCACTTCTTCTGGACATCTTCACTTCATTCATGGTTAGTTCCATCTTTCTGGGGGAATTACCACTTGCAAGGCTCTGGGGAGAGCATTGTCAAGCCGTTGTAACTTTTCCAAATTAGATAAGGTTGATTGGTGAGCCAATTATTAGACCATGCAGCACATGAGAGCAAGGTCAGTTCAACCTCCAGGGGCCTTGCAGCTTTCTTTCCATAACTGAGGTTGCACTAGCTTTCCTCTTAGTCACAGGGGTGACTAGGCAAGAGAACTGTGTTGCAAGTCATTCCTGCTAATGAATAAATATCCTCTTTGCACAAAGACGTCAGCTTAATGATCTTAATGGGGGCTGTGACTCCCTCTCCCCGTCCCAGAGTCCCCTCCCCAAATGCCGTACTTTGCCTTTGCTCCAGGAACAGCTTGATTGAGGAATGCATTTGCGCTGTTGGCGTCACCTGTGCCCACCGCGTAGCCTGTGAGATATTGATTAAACTCCCGAAGGATATCTGGAAGAGAAGGGAGTGAAGAGGCCACAGAGAGCTCAGGCCACTAGGCTAGGGTATTTTCTCTGGTCCTATTGGGTCCCCCAAATGGGCTGTGTTCTTACCCTCATGCAGACTGGGGAGGGGCTGGACAGGTAGGGAAGAAGGGGCCCTCTCTGATGGGCCACCCAAAGGTGGCTTGGGCCAAGATAGAGAGAGTTCCACCTGCTCTGTTCCCCTGATTTCCTCCCTGCTCCCACTTTACAATCCACAGTGCAGTGAATACCAACCACCTTATTTGTTTATCTCATTAATTCCCTAGACCAGCTGAGGAAACCTTTTATAGTTGAGGAAACTTGAAGCTTAGAACATGAGGTAACTTGTCCTATTCATCTGGTAAGCATGTAGAAGGGCCAGGGCCTAACTCTTGGTCTCTTGGTTCAAAATCCAGTGTTTATTCGACCTCCACCCCCTGTCCATGGCCCATCTTACTACTTCAGTCTTCAGTGGCTCATAAGGGAGAAGATGCTACTTGCTCATTTCTTAGCTGAGAGGGACTCTCAGCAAGTTTGGCAGTTGGATGGAACTAGTGGACAGATACAATGCCTGGTGGTTACTTACTAGGTAATGTGGTCACGTTACTCAGAGAGCCGTCCCCTCCTGAACTGTAGAGTGAGCAGGTCAGGGAGTGAGAGAGAACGAAACACAGAATGAGAGATTCATTCAACACATCCTCTTTACAAAAAGTAGCTCATTTTTCTTAGTATCCATGACAAGCTGTGCTAGATCCATCTCATTGTAATTTGAGGAATCCTGAGAAAAATGTAAATTCCCCCATGGATTGGGTTCCCTCCCCAAATCTGGGATTTGACAGCAAAAGGGAGCCATCTACTACATCACGGAGGAGAGCTCCTACCTGAGTGTGCCCAGTCTTGAACTAGAGACTCCCCAGGGATTATCTCACTTCTTCCAACCATATGACTATCTCTAATTTACATAGTAGGAAACTGAGGTGCACAGGGGTCAATGACCTTGCTAAAAGACACTTAAAACCACAATGCTTGAGCTGGATACTTTAAGTAAATGGGTATACTCTTCTCAGCCCAGTGGTCAAGTACAATTCCAGTAGAAGGTTCAGGAAATGGTCTCTCACTGCCCAAATTCTATCTACTCAAATCAAGTTTTATGGTCCTCAATCTAACCTCAAGACACACTCTGAAGATTTCATTTCATGCATTGAAATTGTACGTTATGCAGGAGATATGGAAAGAAGTATTTCTATTGTAATAAATTCCAATATTTAGGGTATCCTGTGTTTATTCATATCTTCTGTACCCCTCTCTTCAATCCAAGCATGCTCTTTCAGGCCCCTAGATTTTGAGAACACCCATGGCATCCAGCCCACCAACAGAGGTTTCTCAAAGGGCAGCCCATCTGTCAGAATCTAGATCGCTCTTTAAGGAATGCTTGGAATGAAGTTGACTATATTTCATACCAGGATGGTTAAGGGCTTAAGTCAAAGGCTCAACAAGCAGCTCCAGTAAGTGCTGCCCTTCTGCCTCACTCTGTGACCTCTCCCTGACTTCCCATCAAATGCCTGCATATAATTTGACCAGTGGCTGCTCATTTGTTTGAGCTTCCATTTTTCCAACTTTGCATGAAGCTGCTATCCTTCTTTCTCTGGATGAAATGTACTTAATCAGAATATACTTGAGAGGAAATTATAAACTTATACTTGAGAGGAAAGTATAAACTTATACTTGAGAGGAAATTATAAACCCATATACCTTATCCAGGAGTCCTGGTGTGGTGCTGTGGGCTAATGTGCTGGACTGCAAAGTCCTTTGAACCATAAGGTCAGTGGTTTAAGCTCACCAGCTGCTCCTTGGGAACCCTATACAGGCTCGCCATGGGTCAGAACTGACTCTATGGCACTTAACAACAACATACCTTATCCAATTGCTATATTCTAATACTGCCTCCTTTGCCTCTCCAGTAAAGATATATATATAACACACACACATCAATTTTTTTTCTATTGTAATTTCTTGTCTAGAAATATTTCTGTTATAAGGGTGGTAACTAATAAAGATCAACATGCTGCCAAAATCTCTTCCAACCTCATTTTTAATTAAAGTGGAATTTTTAGGAAGAAATGAGAGGATTATACAAATAAAAAAGGAGGAACAGAAATGTTTGTAAGCCCTCATTTTGACCAAAACAAAATGAAAGATGAAAGAAAACCATATCAAATAGCTAATCTACATTAGGTCCTTTGGATCACTGTAATTTATATGACACTGTGAGCTCACTGGAATCCTGGTGTGGCACTGAGGATCAATGCATTGGACTGCAATTCAATTTGAACTACAAAGTCAGCAGTTCAAGCTCACCAGCTACTCCTCAGAAACCCTATACAGGGTGGCTATGAGTCAGAACCAACTCAATGGCACTTAATAATGAACTGGAGTCCTGGTGTGGTGCTGTAGAATAAGCACTGGACTGCTAACTACAAGGTTTGTGGTTCAAACCTACCAGCCACTCCTCGGAAACAATATCATATACGGGCAATCACAGGGCTTTGTTTATTTGTTGCCTCCCACAGTGCACAAAGACACATTTCTCAACAGAAGTGCTATGAACATTTGTTGACGTTTCATTACTGTGAGACTGAACTTCTAATTAAAAGACAAAGAAAGGCATTTTTTTTGGTAAATTTTATTTTGGTCCTTTGCATGATCTCAAATAGGCAATCTTATTTTAATAAAAGAAAAGACAATGGTCTAAAGACCTGCCACAGTGTTAAGTTAGCAAAAGCTGGGACCTTCCATTGGTTTAAGATTTCCACAGAGCAAGGGGTCTTGGAAACATTCACAAGCAAGCCTGCCTCTGCAGGCCCTGCTATAAGCTCCCTAAGTGCCCAGTAATGCTCCCATCCAACTCTGAGGGAAGAGACTCAAGTACCATTCTTAACATCAGTGTTTTACTTGTAGTCATTAGTTGCCTGGTGTTTTCAATCAAGCAGCTTTCATGGATTCAGAAAAAAATTTTCAGATAAGTCTACTACATAGCTATTTCCCAGGGAATGTTAATAGGTATTATGCAAAAAGAAGAGTTCTGAAATTAAAGGAACACTGGATTAAATCTATTTAAATAGATTTCTTCACTGCAGCGTTTCTCAGAGACTTTACAGTATTAACACAAAGGATTTTCTCCTCCTCAGGAACATGGACAGGTCTGGTGTTCCAAGTCACACACTTTGGAAAATACTAATTTACATCTTCTATCAAGTGTCAAAATACCTCTCAGATACTGACCTAAAGCTTCTAGCTTTAGCACCTATAGATCTTGAGGCAGGTTAACACTAATACTGAAGGCAAACAGTGTTAAAAAGGACAGTTGGCTATTAGGCCTTTGAGTTAGAACCAGAAGATTCCAATATTAAGCCTTAATGGGCCTTATTTACAGGAGGAAACAGAGTAATTGGATTTTTCAGTTGCTGCAGACAGAAACTTTTAGCAGAAGCCTTCCTGTCAGTACCTGGAGCTGGATTCCATCTTTGCCAAGTAGGGTAGATCTCACTTTTCCAGCCGGCTCCCACCATTTGTAGCTTATCAGTCATCTGTTGTGGGCTACTTTCTTTTCTATTTTCCCACACTATGATGTGAGGTCATTGCTTTTGTTAACTAAGACTAAGTGCAGCTGCTGTGAAACCTTATTTATTAAAAAAAAAAAAAAAAGGTAATAAGCTCTGTTTTCTTCTGCTTGTTCTCCAGTTTTTGTTTTGTCTTGCACCCTCTACTGGTACTCATTTGGGGCAGAGTAGTGTGGAGCCAGGCTCTGATTTGTTCCAAGGCAGCTTGTTAGAGTCCACTTACCTGGCTGAGGACACCTGGCAATTTGGGGACTGTGGGAGCTAGAGGAGGCATTTAACTCAGCTCTCAGCAGGGTGGTGACGTCATGCCAAGGCCTCCGTGGACCTGGTTGCTACAGGCGACGGCGTGAGGTCACCTCTTTCCTGCACAGCAAACCTTCCTCTATGTGACTCCTTTGAGTTTGGCCTGAGAACTACCACGGTCCTGATAACTACCCCCATGCTACTCCCTCTCACTTCTTGGGCAGTAATAGTTCCTGTGAAGAAAACGGAGGAGGCACGTCGCCACCTCGCGTTAGCATTGCGCCCTCTTGTGGTTGGCTTTCTTCTATTTGCTTTCCTATGTAAGAAATGGATTGGGAGCCAACCACCAATTACGCTGAGGCTTACAGAATCCTCAACTTTATTAGGAAAGAAAGAAACTCAAGAAGACCCATCCCCACCCCCCTCACACCTCACACACATCCTGAGATTTTTCTGCTTCTGTCTGGAATGCCCTCACATTCTTTCCATCTCTCTAATTGCGAGTCTTTCAAGACATAGCCTTCTCTGTGAATCTTCCATCTCTGCTGACAGGGTCAGCTAGTCCCTCTTCTGTAATTCCCATAGCACTAAAATAATCTTTGTTTTTAAACAGCATTTGATGATTGAGCACCAGGATTTACCTGTACTTTCCACTGTACTCCCCCACATGCCTCTAGACATATCCCCCCGCCCCCACCAGCCGCATGTCCCTAGATTATGACTTCATTTCTTCTTGAAATGTTCGGTGAGTCAGAGATTCTCTGGACAGATGTGTATGTGCGTGTAAAGGCAGAGTCATGAATGCAGAACAGCATGAACGAACATATCTAGACAGGAGACAGAGCGGTAAGGACAGCTATACGTGCACGTGTACATGCAAGTGGATGGCTGAAGGTTCAGAGATTTGGTGCTTTTTCAGGTGCATTTTGTGTTGGATTTGTTGACCCAGGAGTTTGGTAAGAACCCTGGTTTACTTTTTCTGCATAATTAAAAAAAAAAAAAAAAGATTATTCAACAGTAAAATAATACCTGCTCTACTCTCCCACCAACTAAATTCCATGTTTTGCAGAAATAAATAGGTTTTTCTTTTGGAAGCCCCTTCTAGACCTAGTCCTTGCTCTTTGGTATTCATGCATTTATAGGGGACAAGCACTCCCTCATAATCTCTTCAGGTAAGCATGATCGGGTGGGGTGAGGGGTGGGGGGCACAGAGGAAAGTCAAAGGTTAACATTACCTATAGGATAGTCCCCGGTACTGTGTGCTGACATCGGACAGGTCACCTGGGTTGGAGTCAATTCCGTTGCCAGCCTTTAAAAACATACCAAAATCCACAGGAATATCAGCAAGCCAGAGAAGACAGGGGTTGTTAATGGGTCAGGTGACTGAAGATGTAGTTATTGATGAACTCATTTCCGTGTGACCAAGCACTGGTCCAGGTTTGCAGTGTGTGGATACCCCTCCCCAGCCATGTGCCTTCAAGTCAGTACCTTCACTTGCCTGAGTCTCAGCTGCCTCCTTACTGAATGGAGGACAACCCCAGGCCCAGAAGGAATTACCGAACCTGCCTAATCATCAAACTCCTCATCTGTAAAATGAGATGAGCAGTGTCCACCTTTCAGTGCTTTCTGGGTTTCTGAGGAGATTAAGATCCTCTGCCATCAAGTGGGGTCCAACTCCTAGCAAAGCTGTAGGACAAACTAGAATGGCTTCATGGGGTTTCCTAGGCTGCAATCTTTATGGAAGAAGATGTCTCATTGTTCTCCTGTGGAGTGGCTGGTGGGTTAGAACCACTGATGTTTCAGTTAGCAGCCTGATGCTTAACCTACTGTGCCGCTAGGACTCCTTTTGAGGATAGGACAGATAATGCATACACATCACTTAATCACAGTTCCCAGAACCTAGAAAGGGCTCCGCCAAAAGGATTCGCTATTATTAACTTTGAAAAATCACTTCATTCTACATTTTAATAAAACAAACAAAAACTATGCTGTAGCGATGGCATCCATAGGCACTATCCCCACAAGGGTGTATCAATAACGGTAAAGAATTAATTAATCATGAGATGTTGCTTAGCTTTAACTTCTCACTATTTTATACATTTGACCATAAGGGTATTAGTTTAAAGAACAATCCAGCTTGAAAAAATAGGAAGGTGGTAAGAAAGACTGTGCTTTCTTAGGGGCAGAAGACAATCTAGAAGAGCTGTTCATAAAGTGTAAGAGAGGTTGACAAGGTCCTGTAGACCATTCAGATGAGGCATCTTGTCCTCTGGCATTTTATTTATTCCTCCCATCAGAATAGGTGGATTGTGCCTTCCACTGTCTACAGCAGACCACAGAACCTAGCCCAGCCACCTCTACCGCCCCCAGAGGCCAACAGTCCTTACTGTCAGGGAATCCCCCAGAGCAGCAACAACTTGAATGTCGGCAGGTCTCAGGGCATGCACTGGAAAGACAAGAGGACACACTTAAGTCTGTGGGAAGGAAGCAACCATCAGAGTCTAGTGCTTCTTGCTGGAGCAAGAACAAAAACATGACCCATATGTGCATTTGGGCCATGCGGGAGTGACCATCCATGGTGCCAGGAAGCCAGTGGTTATATGAAGACAGAATTTCCCTGTGAGAGAGACAAAAAAAAGATGGGAGGGAGGTAGAGAGAAAGGAAGATTGAGTGAGAAATGCGGCCTGGGGAAATAGCTAACTAGAGAGAAAGGAGAGCCATGGAAGGGTGTTTCATCAGTAGAGAGAGCTGGACAGGGCCCCACCACTTTGGTGCCTAGCAGCCATGTGGGACACCTGGATAATGTGAAGTGAAATGTGAGGCCTGGTGTGCAGCCAGTCCGAGCTAGGCGTTGGATTTCCACCAAGAATCTGAGGAACAATCTACCCCTGTGCCAAGTCTTTCATGAAGAATTCAGGGGACTCTCTAAGCCTGGCTGGCAGGCATGAGGGCCAGATCTGTGAAGGCAGATCACAGGCCACAGAATCGTCTGGCAAAGCAAGCTTCCTCTTGGGATCTCTGGGGTTCAGTGAGGGCACACTACAAGTGGGGGGCTCCTGCAGTGCCTCCAGCTCATGCTCTAACAGGCTGAAGCAGAAGGGCAGCACACAGCTCCCAGCACTGACTACCTGGGGGTCTGCCAGGCTAGATATGGCCATAAAGCAGAGTGGAGCTTGTCCAAGGTGACCAACCACCCAGACAGGAAGCAAGCACAGGCCCATAAATGTACTGTAATTTGCATATTACTTCTTATCATGGAGCCCACTGGCATGTAAGCTCTCATGAAGGTTGGACCCCTGGGTCCTGGTATGTCATAGGTGGCTTACCTGAGGTGGGGGGCGAGGCAGAGGGAGCTCTGTCCCTGCACATCAGCCAGCTCCCATGACCCTAAGGGCATAGAATCAAACCTAGAATCACAGGGCTGAAATGGAGGACCACAGAGGCTGGCTAGGCAGACTCACCCAGGGAGCTTTGAAAAAACACAGATTCCTGGGCCTCAGCTCTAAGGAGGCGCCTGAAGAGGGAATTTTTCCAGAAGCTTCCTAGGTGATTTTGAATATCCAAAACCCACATATAGTAACTCTCTAGGGCAGAGTAGAACTGCCCTATAGGGTTTCCAATTTTTATGGATATAGACCATCACATCTTTCTCCTACTGAGTGGCTGGTGGGTTCAAACTGCTGACCTTGTCCTTAGAAACCAAGCATTTTAACCCTGGTGCCACCAGGGCTACTCTTTTTGAAGAGCAGCCAGGTTGAAGATGGGTCTAGTTCAGATTCTGTCATCATCCAATGCAAGAATCAGGGCATTGACAATATCACCCTGTTTTGCCACCAACAAGCTCAGCTTTGTAAAGCAGATGGTTCTCTTCACTTACTTGGATGTCTAAGATGAAGCTGTGATTTGATTGGCTAAACCCCCAATAGCCAGGGTGCTGTCCTGTCTCCAGGAGCCCAACCCATAAACAAGTGGATGGCTTTTATAAAAGAACAGTAACCCTCCTTCAACTGGCCCATCAGGAACTCTGGCCCATTTTCCCACAGAGCCCTGTCCAGGGCTGGCCGCCATAGTCCCTGGGGTGCCCCAAAGAAGCCACATGAAATACCTGTACGATGTTGTTCTTGTATGTGCTCAGAAATGGCCAGACCTGTGAGGAGAGGTAGGTTATTTTTGCTTGTTTCCTGTGGGATTGTTTGTTTCCTGCTCTGTTTTGCTCACCAGCCTTCAATAAACACCACCACATCCCCAAGCCAGACTGCTTGAGCTAACCACTGTGGGCTCCCACTAGGATGCACTGGGTCCTTCTTGGCAGTCAGAGCTCAGTGGGGGCTTCCCAGGAACATACATGTCTTCCCTTTGCTCCATGTGCCCATTGGGAACAACTCTATCAACTCCCATTCTCCACCCATTCTAGCCACCAGGACACCACATTCTGCTGATGAAGTCTGTGACCTCCACTCCCTTGTTTGGTCTCTCACTCCTCTTTCCTGCCACTGGCAATGTGGGTTCTTTCTTGCCCAGGAAAGAGGTGTCAGGCCCTATGTAAGCCCCAGCATAGTGATTAGCAGTATCAGGTTGGGTCCCTCTGAGAATACAGAGGAATTCATAGAGGTGAAGGCAGAACTGCAGAGCTCCAAGAATCTGAACAACTTGTGGATAAAAATGGACCCTTGTCCTGCTTCGCCTTCCAGGTTAATGTCTGTATTCCTAGCTCTGGCTTCCAATCTACCACTCTCAGCTCCTCCCCAGTTACTCACCCACGCATATCTAATTCTAGGTCTATGTGGCTAACTCTTCCCATACTGCCAGGGTACTCTCATATTTCATCTGCCTTCAAAATGGAGCTGGATGCTGCTGTCCTGTTGCCCTCCCTGGCCTGAAACAGCTGCCTCCCAGCCCAGACTTGTGCCAGGCCTTCTGGTCACTAGGGCCAGCATCCCTCTCAGATCAACTGGGCAGCGTAGCCAGATAGCCAGAGCTGGGAGTGGGGGTGAGGGCCTAGGAGGAAATGAGCTTAGAAGCCTTAAGGAGAGCTGAGACCTGGAAAACTTAGAGATGGATGTACTTCAAGGGCATGCTTTTCACTCTACCTGGTTTGGACATGAAATATTGATCTCCTTTTGAAAATCATGCTGAGTCGTCTTCTGGTTGACAGGTTCCAGCTAAGTCAAGAAGTAGGAAAATGGGGGATGAGAAAGAGGTGGCAGGAACAGAAAGGTCAGAGTGCAGGTCAGGGTGGATCAGGGACAAGGGGCGGGGGAGGGAATAAATGAAATGGGATTTATTATCACTGCTGTGGGGCCATCTTCAGGCACAAAGGTTTGCCAACCTTAGTCATCTTACCATGTTTTGCCACAGGGCGCTGGCGGCACGGCCGTGAGACTTTTTGCTGAAGTGAAAGCAGTCAGGAGCGAAGAAAGAGCTGTCAGGCAACCCCTCCTGGTCAAAGGGCAGAAATAAGGGGGTGATGTCATAGAGACGTTGGACACAACATAAACAATACTGAGAAACAAGGGTGGACTCTGTGGATTTCACTTAGCCACCATGATTTCTTTCTTTACCGGGGTCTTTGGCATCTTCACTTCTTTTAAGAACGGCTGCACAACCACCGTAAAATCTTCCCTTGTGTCGTATTGTCCACTCTCAACCAGCTGGTAGGTCTCCTCCTGAGGGAGAAAAGGGACAGGGTTAGGGAGCAGATGCTAAAATGGGAAGATAGGAATTTCTAGAGGTCAGGGCTCTAAGAATCTGAGCTTTGTGAGCGAAAATGGGGTTCTTGCTCTGCCTTACCTTTGTTGCTTTTCCCATCTACTCCATCACTGTATGCTTTCATTCTCAACCACAGAGTTAAATAGATCCTGACCTTCGATGAAATTAATCTTTAGCAAAATCTCAACAGATTAGGAACTAGCTAATTACCTTGCTTTAAGTGCCGAGTCAGTTCCAAACCATAACGGCCCTGTATAGCGTTTCCGAGGAGCAGCTGATGAACTTGAACCACCAACCTTGCAGTTCAAACCGACTCTGCAGTCCAGTGAATTAACCCACAATGCCATACCTTAATCTTGACTCATGCCCTCAATCCTTGCTTCAATAGCATATATTACACCCAGGAGTCCTGGTGTGGTGCTGTGGATTAATGAGCTGGACTGCAAAGTTGGTTTGAACTGCAAAGTCAGCAGTTCAAGCTCACCAGCTGCTCCTCAGAAACCCTATGCAGGGTTGCTATGGGTTAGAACTGACTTGACAGCATTTAACAGTAATAGTAATATAAACAGAGAATCTAAATCTATCAGTGTGCCTTCTTTAAAAACTATTCTGATTGAAGACTTGGTGAGGGGAATTATTTGGTTAAATGACATTCTGGATAATTGTTATGGATTGAATTGTATCTATCTCCCCCCACCCCCCAAGTATGTACTATAAATTCTAACCTCTATGATTGTGGTTGGAGTCCTGGTGTGGTGCTGTGGGCTAATGCGTTACACTGCAAAGTCATTTTAACTGCAAGGTTGGCGGTTCAAGCTTACCAGTTGCTCATTGGAATGCTATACAGGGTTGCTATGGGTCAAAATTGACTCGGCAGCACTTAACAACCATAAGGGTAGTGATTCTAACCTATCAGCTGCTCCTCAGAAACCCTTTGCAGGGTCACTATGAGTCAGAACTGACTTGAAGGCACTTAACAACAACAACAACTACAACAACACTAACATAGCCTTGTTAATGTAACAAAGAAAACCCATTCCCAAATGGGATTATATCTACAGAATATTGTTGTTAAGTGCCCTTGTTGAATGCGGTTCAAACCAACTTTACAGTCCATCATGTTAATTCTACTTTGAGATATAAAGAGCAGATTAAACAAGGAAGCAAGCAAGCAGAGATGGGAGAAGATAAATACCATGCCGCATGAATATCGCCATGACTGCCAAGCAACAGAATCTCAGAGTCAAGGGCCTTCCCCCCAGATGCCACACAGAGAGAAAGTCTCCCGCTAAACCCGTATCCTAAACTTGGACTTCTAGCCTCCGGAGTCCTGGTGTGGCGCTGCAGGATAAGCACTGGACCGTAAGGTTGGTTTTTGAAGCATAAGGTCAGTGGTTCAAACTCACCAACCACTCCTTGGAAACCCTATACAGGGCTGTTGTGAGTTGGAACCAACTCAATGACACTTAACAACAAAAACAAACTATGAGAAAATAAGTATCTGTTCACTGAAGCCATGTACTTGTGGTATTTGTTATCAATGCACTAGATAACTAAGATAATAATTCTCACATTTATTTCTTATTTTTCATTTGAAATGGTCTGATCAAAGGTGAATCAACATTAAATGCACATCTACATTGCCTGTGCATGGTTGGTGTGTGTCTGTGTGTATCATGCTCACATGCGCCGCTCAGTTCTCTCCAGAAAGGCAATTGAGCTGTTATCTTCATAGCTTTCCCTGGGCTTAGTTCCAGGAAGACCAGTTGCCCCAGTTCTGACTCTCACCCCTGCCAGATTATGCTATTTCACTGCTCACCAGGGTTTCTACCATTTGGAGCCAGGAGTCTGGCTGGAAAGGGAAATCAGGCTCCAGCACCCTTGGACATTAGTGTGGTCACTTCCAGGGACATCATACTCTTTCTTATCCCAAGGCCATGCACCAAGGAATACCCGATGCCAAAGACCCCTCACCTCTGACCTCTCTGAGTACACTATAAAGTTTGATAGGGGAAGGAAAGACAATGATCACAAGATGTAGAAAGGTTCACCACTACTAATTAGCTGTGTGGTGTTCCAGCAAGCTCCTTTCCGTCTCTGATCTCTGCCCCCTCATCTGTAAGTGAGGATGTTGGGCAGTGCCAGGATCACCCTTAAGCCCCTTCGAGTGTTCTGGTTACTTTGGGGAGTATCCATGGCTCACAATGGGAGGGACTACACAGCCTTTGAGAACAGATATAGTGTGCTGATTGCCTGGAATATGGTAAGATGATCACTGGTGACTAACAGTGATCATCACCAGAAACAGCGAGGAGAACCACAGTGCTTACAGGAGGTAGGGAGTGAGGTGATCCTGAGAGAGGGCATGATAACCAAACCTGGCCTAGCTGTGAGCATCTGGAGAACACCAGACCAGAGTCTCCATGGTGACCAAGATCAGACGTGGCAACAGCTGACTAATCTAGAAAGGCCAGTAAAGGCAGTTTTGGCGACTATTTCTCATTCTTTTTTGCTGTCTAACCCTAGAGCTTATTTCCTATGTTTGAAAACTCCACTGTATGAGAAAAGCCTGCTTTGTAATGTTGTTGTTGTTAAGTGCTGTCGAGTCGGTTCCGACTCATGGTGACCCTATATAGGGTTTCCGAGGAGCAGCTGGTGATATTCATCTGCTGACCTTGCAGTTTAAACTGACTTTGCAGTCCAGCACATTAACCCACAGCGCCACATCAGGACTCCATTGTTGTTGGTTGGTTGGTTGCTTGCTTCGTTGGTTGGTTGGTTATTTGCCGTGGAGTCAGTTCCGACCCATAGCGACCCTGTGCAGGGTTTCCAAGGCTGTAAATCTTTACGGGAGCAGAAAGCCTCATCTTTCTCCCGCGGAACAGCTGGTAGTTTTGAACTGCTGACCTTGCAGTTTGCAGTCTGATGGTAGCCATGTTGTTAGGTACCTCTAAGTGGATTCTGACTCCTAGTGACCCCATGTCACAGAGTTTCCTAGACTGTAGACTTCATGGGAGTACATCACCAGGTCCTTTCTCCCACAGATCCTCTAGGTGGTTTGAACTGACAAACTTCCAGTTAGCAGCCGAGCACTTAACTGTTGCTCCTTGCTTCCTACTATAGAAACTGAAAAAGACAAAAGGCTCACTTTCCCAGCTTCCTCACAGTTAGGGCATGGACACATGACCAAGGTTTTCCCAATCTAGTGACAGAAAGATAGATGGGCAGCCCAAAATCCATTTTGACGAGGTGGCAGTTACCTCCAGTTCCTAGAAGCAGCAGGGACAGTGGAGGCCTGGGTTGCCAGGGCCAGCAATCTGAAGTATCTACAATGTTTGCACTAGACTAGTTCTTTGGCATGATTTTGACTCCTAGTGGCCTGTTTGCTTGAATTCCATGATTCTTTATAACTTGTCCTCTGAGATTGTATGGGCTACCCAATAAAGAAGTTAGCTAGAAAATGCATAAGCTCTTAGTTTTTGCACCCAAGAACTCCAACTAAAATGGGTGCTCTTGTGGCCATAACTTCAACTGTATTTCTTCTTTGGGTGCAGACGTGGACTGCCTCATCCGAACACAGGTTCCTGCTCACAGGAGAAGGAAGTACAGTTGAGGAGGCAGCCAGAGTGTTGGGTGATGGTGTCAGAGAACGGTATCTAGAGGTTCATTTCTCTGAGCCCCTAATGTACCTGGCCTGGGTGGCTGCCACCAAAGGAACCTGCAGGGAAGTGTACATATTCCAAGGAGTCTACGAATTTGAACAATAGGTTCACTCTGGAAGCTGTTTGTAGATCACTCCGGAAGGGTTGGAAGACCTACCATTGTCCTCTCTCAAGTGAACGGATGACCATTTTGGAGGGGGGGGGGGGATAAAGATCATTAAGGGATTTAGCTGTTTTGATACGAGATTTGGTGAGGAAAAGACTAAAATGAACCACCCCAAGATGTTTGAAGACCATCTGCTGACTTCCTTTCCCCTTCTGTTCCTATGACACCAGTTTGCATGGGAGGCGAGGTGAGGGAAGAGGAGGACTGGTGAACTGGGTGCTTGCAGGTTACCTTACTGCACCCCGGAACCTCTCTACAGAGGGCGCTGTTTCAGCTTCCGGTTCACATCCAGGAGTCTGAAGCTCAGAGAGCTTTCTAGCTTATTTGTCTAAATCACACCACTAGTGGGCAGCAGTCAGGGTTAGGGTCTAATTAGATCCACTCCGAGAGTTCTTTACAGGATTGTTGTTGTTGGTAAGTACCGTGGAGTCGGTTTCGACTCATAGTGACCCTACTCAGGGATTCCAAGGCTGTAAATCTTTACGGGAGCAGAAAGCCTCATCTTTCTCCCACGGAACAGCTGGTAGTTTCGAACTGCCGACCTTGAGGTTAGCAGCCCAGTTCGTAACTACTACGCTACCAGAGCACATGTTTTTTATGGCCAACTGGAAACTCTTTGTTTTCATGAGGAAGCCAAGGAAGTGAGTTGTTAAATCACTTGTCTCTACCTTGGATTGCATATGTTTGATCCCAGCCCCTGCTGCCTCGTGGTTGTCTATATCAGCATAGTTGTTGTTGTGTGCCGTGGAGTCGGTTCCGACTCATAGTGACCCTACACAGGGTTTCCGAGGCTGTAAATCTTTACGGGAGCAGAAAGCCTCATCTTTCTCCCACGGAACAGCTGGTAGTTTCGAACTGCCGACCTTGCGGCTCGCAGCCCGATTCGTAACCACTACGCTACCAGAGCTCCTTATATCAGCATAGTAAGCAGCAGTAATCATTTATTTACTCATGTTCTAAATCGAGCAATGGAATCGCACTGCAGTGTCAGCTTACCTGATACATTTTATTCTGTTCGATGAGGTTGGCAAGTTCTGCGGAGTTGTCCTCGAACTTCAGGACACAGGGACACTGAAGCCTGCAGACCAAACCAGAAAGTCCCCCCAAAAAACAGATCTAAATGTGTGAGACAGAAATACTGGCTTGAGACTCAACATTGACTTCTTTTTTTTTTGACTTCCCTGGAGAAGGACATCATGCTTGGTAAAGTAGAGGGTCAGTGAAAAAGAGGAAGACCCTCAGTCAGATGGACTGACACAGTAACTGGAAACAGGGGCTCAAACATAGCTACAATCGTGAGGGTGGTAAATGACAGAATAGTGTTTCATTCTGTTGTGTGTAGTATCGCTAAGCATCTGAACGGACTCAATGGCACCTCATGACAACAACTTGAAGGAATCAGAAGTCTGTGCTAGCAGAAACCTACCTGGTAGCTAATCTGGTGACTGGACTAATGAAGTGGATGAAATTTTCCTAGACCTGAGTTTTTAAAAATGAAGTCTTTATTTCTTCAGACATCTGGAGGCATGACTTTTATGGAACTGAGTTACCTTATGGTTGCATAAGGGCAGAGCTGTGCAGATGAGGCACATTTTCTTTAAAATAATAATAATGGGAACAGCAATAACAATAAAAACAGCTAACATATATGGAATGTTACTATGCCAAGCACTGTACTAAGAGCTTTATAGGTATTAAGTGATTCAATCCTCACAGCCATTTCCCCCATTTTTATTGAAACTGAGGCTCCTAGTGGTTAGGTAACGTTCTCAAAGTCACACGAATGCTTAGCGTGGAAACCAGAAGTCTGGCTCTGCACCTGAGAGGTTGTTGAGTCAATTCCAGCTCATGGCAACCCCATGCTCAACAGGGCAACCCTGCTCCATGGGGTTTTCTTAGCTGTGATCTTTACAGAAGCAGGTTGCCAGGGCTCTTCTTCCACAGTTCCTCTGGGTGGGTTTGAACCACCAACCTTTAGGTTTGCAGTTGAACACACTCAGGGACTTTCCTGAGTTCTTACCCTCTATATTAAACTCCTGATAAGTCTACAATTTTGACTGTAGGCTTTGCACATTTAGGCTTCTGGTGCTGGGGGCCAAGGTACATGGCTCACTGGAGACTGGGCATGACTGAACGCAGAACAGTCACTGAGACACAGAATACCTGAGAGATGGCAGGTCAAGGTGATCTTGAGCTCTCATCACCCTGACATTCAGTGGTTTGGCCATTTTCAGTTCTAAGAACAGATCTGGCAAATGCCTACTCTGAATCTTTAGTTTTAATGGCCTAAAAAGCCCTGTAGTGCTCCATCATGACAGATCTTTGTATGTGTGCATGAGTGGTTCTAAAATTTTAAAAATATGCTGAACCCCCTGGGTGGTCCAGTGACTGGAGAAAGTGGGAGCCAGGGTTCTGAGTCAGCAGCTAAAAAGAGCATGCATGACATCAGCTGTGGTAACAGGCACGTGTCCTCCAGGCTGTCCTCCCTGGACTCTGGCTCCTGAGGCTTCCCCAGGGGGCCTGTGCAGCCTGAGCCCCAGATGAGCTGTAGCATGGATCTTCAGGAGAACAGCCAAGATAATGCCTTAATTTCCAAGAGCAGATGCGGCCCTTGTGAATTATTCATTCAGTCATTCAGCAAACAGCCTCAGAGCTGCTATGCTATGCTAGCGGTGACTCAGACGCTGTGGAGGAGAGAGGTGCGTGAATAATTACCACAAGATGTGCTCAAGGCTACTGTGGAGGCCCATACAGAGCTACACAGTGGAGTTCAGGGTGTGGGGAAATAGCAGTGGGACCTGGGCTGAAGGTCCAGAGAAGAACCTGAAGGAAGGAAGGCATGCTTTGGAAGATGTTCATGCTTAGAAGAATGCCTTTTTTCTAAGGATGACAGTGTTGTTAAGTGCCATCAAGTCAATTTCGACTCATAATGACCCAGTATAGAGTTTCTGAAGAGTGGCTGGTGAGTTTGAACTGCTGATCTCGTGGCTAGCAGTCCAGTGCTTATCCTACAACACCACGCTAGGAGCCTGAGAGTGATGGAGTTGTGTAATACTGAGAAGTCATTTTGCTTGGTTCTGAAGACTGAGGGATGAAGAAGACCTCTTCTCAGGGCTCTCTGTTTCCTGGGGAAGATACTGTCTTCAGGGCCTAACTGATTCTGATTTGACCACCAGTCCTCTAGCAAGCAACTGTGACTCAGTGCGGAACACTCATACCAGCCAGAGGCCCTTCTGTCCTGGATGTGGCTGCCCAGAACAGGTGGTGAAACTTCAGACCTGGTCAAAAGCAGGTCCTAGCAGAGGCCTGGACACTCCCTAAGCCCAGCCCATACCGGCTGACTCCATTTCTTTCTCTCTGGAGATGCAAAGATATCAGGGGCTGCCAGGAAAACAAAAGCAGGGTTGGGGTTCTAAACGCACACCTTGGGGACAGGTAGATGAGGTCCATCCCAGGGTCACCAAAACTGTGGGGTGCCCCTTCCATTAGATCTTTTCAGGTTAGAAAATGGGGTAGTTTCAGCACTTCTCCCACTCTGCCCTACGCTGTGCTCACTAATCAGAGTCAGGTTCTATGGAAAACCACATAGCCCTTTGGGAGCCGGATAAAGAAACACCCATCTTACCTGAGGAGCGTCCTTGGGCAGTTGACTTTTTGCTCCTGGTAGAGCTCTCTCAGGGGGGTGATACCCAGTACCATCACCAGGTTCACAAAAGCCCGAGGAACCTGAGCAAAAACAAAATCAGTCACAAGAGTCAGGCTATACAACTCCAGCCTCTTATCTGTGTCTGGGGCTCGTTCATCCTACTGGTGTGTCAAGCGCATGGCCTTCAGTCAGGTCCCGTCCATTTTCTGTATCCCGACCCGTTTGCTTACCCCTGGGTTCTGTGACTGGTAACATGGTCTGTGCTAGTAAGAATGACCTGCCAGCAGGTTTCAGCTGCCCTCAGTCTAGGCTTGGGACCCAAAATGAAGACAGCTCAGAGGCTGTGCAGCCCAGACCCTGTACCTCAGCATGGAGGAGGTCTAGAGCCTTCCCGATGTGGCCTGTGAAGTTCCGGGGAGAATAGTGATCCTGTAGGAAGAGGAAGGTTCTCTTTAACACATATGTCACTGGATGTCCTTACAGACCAGGGCTACATCCTTTCTTGGTTCCCTTTCTTCCAGTATTTCAGCAACAGTGAGACACGCGGTTTCTCTTTGGAGGCCCCTCCTACAGCCTGGGGTTTGTCATGGTTGCGATTTCTATGTGTAGAGTTATGGAAAGTTCTGGATCCACTTCATGGCAGCTAGCTGTTGGGCTAAGTCACATCAGCTTTCTGGGTTTTTTGGAAATGGGGGTGTGGGACCAGATGACCTCTAAGATCACCTGCAGCTTAAGTAGTTCTGGTCCAATGACCTGGTCTCTCTTCCATAGGGCCTCCAGTGTTGGGGGGACACATAGTCTACACAAGTTACTTAAGGAGATAATGGGAAGGGAAGTAGGCCCCTCATTCCCAAGTAACATAAGCGCATTTTAATTTGTTATTTCTTCTGATCTCAATAGTTGTTGTTTTTTTTTTTTTTAGATAGTGGAACTCTTTCTCGATATGAAATCTAACCCAGAACCCTTATATATTAAATGGATCAAAGCAGCAGCACTTACAACTTGAAATTCCTGACCCTAATGACTCTGAGTCTGGGAAAGTGGACCATGAGGGGCTAGGGGACAGGGTCAACCCTCTGGGCAGGTGCTCATAGGCAGGACTCAGCACTTTCTGAACTTGGCTCTGCTGGCTCCCTTTCCGCGTGACAAATGTATTCATTTTCCAATTCCAGTTGGAACATTGATGTTTGATGACACCTCCCACCCCCATTCACTGCTCCAAATTCTCGTGGCTATTTTGACTTTAAAAATTCTGTGTGCATCACTAGATCTACACCACATGTTTTTCTCGCTATGCCATGGTCTGTGTCTCCCTCCCCTAGCCATGTGGGTTCCTTGAGGACAAGGATCTGTGTTTCATCTGCCATTGCTGAACCTCGAGCCCAGGATCTGTCATATAATACAGGTTCCGCAAATGGTACTAGAAATGAAAAAAAGTTCTGTTTATCAGAAGACACTGTAAACAAACTTAAAAAGCCAACAACAACGTAGGCAACATATTTGACAAAGTGTCTGTTAAGATTAAGAGTTTCAGTAAAGCAGTAGGAAAATGAAGATGTTGATCTAAACAGAAATTGACCAATAGCCTTGATAGAGAATTTAACAAAAGAAGAAATTCAACTGAGTATTGAACAGGGGAAAATCAGTTTATTCCTACCTAAAATCAACTAAATGGCAGTTTTGGAAATGCGGTGCAGTGTTTCATCTACCAGATTAGCAACTGTAAAAACAATGATCGCATACATTGCCATTTGGGGTGTGGGGAAATAGACATACTGGTACAAACTTTCTGGGAGCAATTTGACAATATGTATCCAAAGCATTGAAAATGTGCACACTCACCAAAACATAAGATGGATGAGTGTATTAAAGTTGATACTGCAAATTGTTAACACTTGTAGAATCTAGTAGTGAGTAAACTGCTTATGTATTTACTACACAACTCCTCTTTTTTCTCCATATGCTTATACATCTTCACAATAAAATGTCCAGGGTAAATGTACATATCTTTTTGCCTAAAAACCTTACTGCTTAAAATATATACTAAGGAAACAATTATGGATGTGCACAGGCAAAACACCAAACCCCTGCCATCAAGTCAATTCCAACACACAGCGACCTGGTATAGGCTTTCCAAGGAGCAGCTGGTGACCTTGAACCAGTGACCTTATGGTTCAAACTGACTATAGTCTAGCTCATTAGCCCACAGCACCATACCAGGACTCCACACCAGGGAAATAGTTAAGTAAATTACAGTTATAGTCTTTAAAAGAGCACTGGTAGCTCAGTGTGTTAAGCACTGGGCTGCTAATTGCAAAGTGTGAACCCGCTATTCACTTTGAGGGAAATCGAGGCTGTCTGCTTCTGTAAAGATTTAGTCTCAGAAACCCTAGGGAGCAGTTCTGCCCTGTCCTACAAGGTCACTAGGAATCAGAATTGACTTAATCATGCAGTGAGCTTTGTCAGTGGGCTGACAGTCTTTAAGAATTATTTTATTGATCATGGGGACATCTTCCCAATGTATGATTAATTGAAAAAAAAATCAAACAGGTAACCAAACAATACCCTTCTTAGAAAGTAAAGCGATTTTTCTGTATCCACAAAACATATTAAATAGGCATTTACTGAACTGTTAACAATGACTCTTAAAGAGATTCCCGCCCCCCACCCCCGTACTTTGATGTATATATATTCATATACCATATGAAGTATTTTCTATTTCAAATAATAATATTGATTTATTGAAAAGAATAATGAAACAATTCTTTTTAAACTTAAATGAATTGAATATTAAAGAGGGTATAGGCTAGCTCCAAGGAATTCTGGTAGCGTAGTGGTTACAAATTGGGCTGCGAATCGCAAGGTCAGCAGTTCAAAACTACCAGCTGTTCCATGGGAGAAAGATGAGGCGTTCTGCTTCTGTAAAGATTTACAGCCTCGCTGTACAGGGTCGCTATGTGTCGGAACCGGCTCCACGGCACATAACAACAACAGGCTAGCTCCACACAGGCAGAAGTGGAATTATAAGCAGGCAGATTTGGGTTTAAAGAAATACTAAAAGAGTAAACTAAGCTCCACCCCCACCGTTCATCAATCAGTTTGTCATACTGTGGTGACTTGCATGTTGCTGGGATGTTGGCAACTATGCCACCAGTATTTTAAATACCAGCAGGGTCACCCATGGTGGACAGTTTTCAGTGGAGCTTCCAGACAAAGAAGGACTAAGAAGAAGAGGTAGACTCTTCAAATGTTCAGCCACTGAAAACCTTATGAAGAGCAGTGGAACACTGTCACATAGCACCAGCATACTGAATACTGAAACATGATGAATAGCACCAGAATATTGTCAGATAGAGTGTTGGAAGACGACCCCCTCAGGCAGGAAGGAAGGATATCATGCTTGGTAAAGTGGAGGGTCAGCGAAAAAGAGGAAGACACTCCAGCGAGATGGATTGGCACAGTGGCGGCAGCAGTGGGCTCGAGCTAACAATGATTGTAAGGATGATGCAGGATGAGGGAGTGTTTCGTTCTGTTGTGCATAAGGCCCTTTTAGTCAGAACTGACTCGACTGTACCTAACTACAACAACAACAAAAATCTTCTTGTCACTGCAGATATTTAAGCAAGTGGCTTCTATGGGAGGAATTCCTTCTGTGTGTTAGAATGATCTGTGGGGTGTCTTCCAGCTTGGAGATTCTGGGGTTCTAAGAAGAAGCATCACACTTATAGCAGAACCTTGCTCTTGGGCTTCCCATCAGCCTAGCATGACTTGTTCAGAACAACAAGAGACAGCATACAGGTGCAGATAGAGAGGCTGCTGAATACTGGAGAAAGGAGCTGGTTATCTATGAAGATATGCAAGAGTTTTCTATATCATTGGAATGTTATCTTGGTTTCTTGATAGGAAGCCTAGTCGGGATGAATCTCAAAACCAGTCCTGCTTGTTCTGTTGACTCTTTCTATGGAGGTGAATAACCTCCTGGTCTCAGGGTTTACTCCAGGCCAAGTCCAGGTCACACCATGAGCCCTAGTCCCAACCCAGTTGCCCTGGAGTTGGTGACGCTCCTTCCCTAGGAGTGAATCTTGAGAGAAGGACCTTGTAGACTTACCGGGTCACTGCAGATATCACAGAGGTCATTGCCTCCTATAAACATGGTTATTATCTTCCAATCATTCTGAAAATTTATACTCTGAAAATAACAAGGAAACAAACAAGTAAGCACTTTGTCCCAGAGTCAAACAGATGGAAACACAAAGTGCTGAGCACTAAGAGTGATTGGTCCCTACCAGGGGACTTAGTGGACATTCATCTTTTTTCTCTTTGGTTTTGGGGCCCCAAGGTCATGGGAATTTGAGAGGTGCTAAGGAGCTCTGGTAGCGTAGTGGTTACGAATCGGGCTGCGAACCGGAAGATCAGCAGTTCGAAACTACCAGCTGCTCCGCGGGAGAAAGATGAGGCGATCTGCTCCCGTAAAGATTTACAGCCTCGGAAACCCTATTCAGGGTCGCTATGGGTCGAAACCGACTCGACAGCACTTAACAACAACAACAAATGGTTCAATTTTTTTCCCCCCAGTAGAATCACTGGACTTTCACGTGGCTCACCCACACATATGTAGTATGTGTGTAAGTCAGTCCTCAAATGTCTTCTTGGGATTGGGTACTGATACACACCAAGCTTCACCCCTCTCATCTCTAGCATAGCAAGGAGAAGTGGGAGGGATAGGGAGACTAGTTCTGGTCATGGGAAAGGAGGCATTTGTTCTGATCTTCTAGAAATCTTCTGTCCTAATTTTGTCTGAAGGGAGAAAGAACCATCTCCTATTAAGAGGAAGCTCTCCTAACTCAGACTATGCATACCAGTTAAAACTGCTTAGGAGAAAATCAAGCTGAGGAGGCTGGGAAGAAGGAGGTCTCAACCTGTGTGCTCCAACTGTGTGCTCTGACAGGATTCTGCTGCCTTTGGGAACTACTCTAAGAGGGACCTGGAGGGATACATGTGCTGAGGAAGAGGCCTGGGTGGCTAGGGGGCTAGTCATACTCTTGTGCTAAACTCTGGTCTAAGGGTAGCTGTCTGTGGTCCTCACAGCCTTTTATACTGCACAGCTTGATCTTCTCTGACCTATAATTCCAAAGAAAATAGTAAGAAAAAGATGGAAGAAAAATCCAGAAATTTCTGACATTAAGGGCAGAGAGAGTCCATATATTTACATACTAAACCCATCTCTTGCCCTCTATTGTTGTTGTGAATGGTCATTGAGTCAGTTCCAACTCATAGCAACCCTGTATAGGGTTTCCAAGGAGTGGCTGGTGAGTTCAAACTAACCAGAGGTCTAGTGCTTATCCTACAGAACCATGAAAGGTTTGCCTTTTATACACTCCTTTAATTATTTCATCCACTTTGCAGCTCGAAGGAAAGTCTGAATGGAGAATGCTGCTTTCATTTGAGCATATGAATCAAAACCTAGTTCAAATCTTCCTAGCCTTTCATCGAAAGCAAAGGGGCCTGTCCCTTCCTTTGTGCAACACAGCATGTGCTGGCCTCCCCTTGAGGGTCTGAGGGAAGGGACTGTGTAGTATTTTCTGTGTCATTCCAGCACCCAGCTCAATGCCTGAGGCATGATCAAAGTTTAGTGTAAATCACTGATTGACTAAATAAATGAGAATCCCTTTTCCAGAGGAGTAGAGTTTCAGACTTCAGAGAAATCTGCCATTTAACCTGACCTGGCTCTCATGAGTCCCCCTTCCCTGATAGATGACCCTCCCTGTCTCCGAGGCTCCCCTGCCTGCTCCCAGTATACTGTAGGAATCCACCCAGTGGTCCCAGATACCAACTCCTCCCTTACTTACCTTGTCATTCTTCATCAGGTCCACTAGCTTCCTGGCCTGGACGGGTAAATCCCTGCAGATACACACAGGAGGAGGTTGTGTGAGAAGTGGGGCCTATGGGGCTGGGGCAGAGCCGGGCACTTAGCAGAGAAATTGGGACTCCAATAGGTGGCAGGATTATGCCCAGGTAGACCTTCAGGAATTCAGGAATATTGGACTGAAGGCCATGTCTCTGAGATCTCTCTCTCTCGTGCTTGGCTCCCCTGAGGTATGGGGTAGAGCACTGCCCATCTCATGTGGGACTGTTGGTGTTATTATCTTCTGACTGGTGTAAGTGAGTATGTACTTCTCTGTCTTCGGCGTCAGGCTTGTTCAGGGCAAGCAGAAGGTCTGTGTGTACTAACTACTTGAAAATACTTCATGTTTCATGCATGCATGGCTTAGCAGGTAACCATTTCACAGTTGCCATAACCTCAGCCTCACTCTCAATCCCTCAAGGTGACTTGGTTGAGTCAGATACATCTGGATTTGGTGCTTAGTTGCCTCTTGTTAACTAGGAAAGTGACTTCAGTTCTTAGTTTAAAAAGACTGCCAAAATGAAGGCAAGTTCCTAACTCCAAAAAGAAAATCCTAGAGGGTTATCAAGAGAGGGCAAGTTGCAGACAGTTGCAAACAGCACGCACGGGCTTGAGTCCTGGTCCCACCACTGGCCAGCTCTGCAACCCTGGCAAAGGATTTCACTTTGCAAACCTATTTTCTCCTTTGTAAAATGGGGATGGTATGCTTACCTTCGTCATAGAGTTGTTGGGAAGATTAAATGAGGTGCTAAGAACTTGGAATATAACAATTGGCCCATGTGAGCATCTATTGAATTAGTTCTATCAATACCACCACTGTTGTTGTCATCATCAATAAAGTCCCTGGCATGTTGCCTTGCAGAAGACATTTGTTGTCATCCTTTTCCCTCTTAACTTTCAGTTCACATGCTCAGACTAGGCATCAGAAAACACCCAGGTGGGGAATTTGGGTAAGTTACTGAATCTCTTTGAGCTCCCCTTTTCCTTACCTGGAAATCAAGGCAGCTGCTCTTTCTAGGAACTAGAGTTGTGAGGATTATGCAACCTCTATGAATCTTAAATTTTATCATTAGCATGAAGCGACCCTCGGCTCTGGCCATCTCAAGAGTTATTGTATGGAATGCGTGGGGTGAAAACCAGAATAAATGGTATACTGCTGTGTTGTTATGATCTGTCTTAGAATAAAGCCTACAGTAGTGCACAAGGACTGACGATGCGGTCAAGTCCATGCATTTGTTCATTAGTTTCCCTGTGCTATAGTTTCTTCATCTGTAATATGGCATTGGTGGTGGTGGTGGTAGTTGTGTGCCGTGGAGTCCATTCCAACTCACAGAGACCCTGTATAGGGTTCCCAAGGCTGTAAATCTTTACGGGAGCAGAAAGCCTCATCTTTCTCCTGCAGAGCAACTAGTAGTTTCAAACTGCTGACCTTGAGGCTAGCAGTTTGACTTGCGACCACTACGCTACCAGGGTTAGTAATTCCAAACTTCTCTCTATCTCCCAGGGATGTGCTTTGCTGTTGTTGCTGTTACAGCGAGTCATTTCCAAATCATGGACACCCTGTATAGGGTTTCCAAAGTGTGGCTGGTATGTTTCTTTGAACTGCTGACCTTGTGGTTCAAACCAACCTTACGGTCCAGTCCTTTATCCCACAGCCCCATCCAAATAGATTACTTGGCATGAAAGAGTCTGAGGGCCTCTGGGAAAGCAGTGAGAGCAATCAACAGCCGTATGAACTGCACTAAGTTCTGGTTGCTTTTGTGTTCCAGACTCTGAGGTTCCATTCTTGGATGCCTTCCTGAATTACTTATGCTTAAACAATGATATGCTTAGAGAAAGCAAAAATTTGATCACATTAATATAAATAAAAAACGTCAAGCCATAAATTGGTAAACTTCCAATTCCAGTCCTGCCAAAAGGGTGTGGGGGAAGTAACCCACAGAATTCATTGTAAAAACTCGTATTAGGCTTTCTATGAATCCCTGCTTCAGATGATCTGCCACCTCTCCTGTCATGAATAAATGAGAAATCTTAGGTGGCTTGTTGCCTCAATATGGTGTTGAGAGTCAGGAGTGTCATATTAGGGAATCTAGGGACCAAACAGAGTCCTGGTGTGGTGCTATAGGATAAGCACTGGACTGCTAACTGCAAGGTCAGTGGTTCACTCCTCAGAAACCCTATACAGGTGGCTATGAATCAGAATAGACTCGATGTTACTTAACACAACAGCGACCAAACAAAGAGTTGCTGGGAATTACCAAGAGGCTCAACACCAGCCAGCTGGTGCAAGAGCCCCCATTTTCTGGTAAGTTCATTAATTACTCTGCAAGAAAAACAGAATTAAGGATCAGAAAGGATCTTTTCATTGCTACTTCTTAGGGTGGGTATGGAATTCACATATTCTCTGACCATGTGGCAGACCCAAAGAAACACTCCAGGCTTTGGGATGTTGGAGAGAAAGGGAGCTATAGGAGCCAGGAGAGCCAACCTGCCTGCTCTCAGGGCCCACATACCATGGCATACTGGTTTCTGGGATTACTAGTAGCTTTTTTCAAGAGTGGGACAGGTTTTATCGTCCTGCTGGATAATTGCTGTGACCACAACATATGCGTATTACACACACCATCTACAACTCCTCAGAACATTCAAATCCAATATGGCAGTCAAGCTTCCCAACCAGTCCCATTTTACAGAGTGAGGTTTAGAGAGGCCAGTGGGGGAACCAGGATGCAAACTCAGGGCTGCCCCTCCCAGGATGCATGCTTCTCCTACAACAAGGAAGGAGGCAAAGTCTAGGACCTAGAAAGTCTGCCTGAAATGCCTGTCTGAGGTGTAACAGACTCGATGGCACTTAATAACAACAAGGACCTAACAATGAGTCCCAAGGAAGTACAAGGAGGGGAGAACACAACTCTAACATGGGAGCACTAACACACGGTTATAACTGGGACTCAATCAGCTGTGAGCCACAAAGTCACATCATACATGGACATAAGACTTATAAATGAGGGGAAGTCATATGCTCAAAGCATGCAACTTGTGTCAGGGTTGGTTGTGACTAGTTCCTGGTGGGAGGGTAGCAGTTTTCTGTGTCTGACAGCAGGGACATTTCTGGGAGACTACTGCCCAGCCTTTGATTCTCAGACCCATCCCTCAGACCAAGCCTTACTAGTCCTGTAGCCATACACCCCAACCTGGCCCAGCCCCCTGGAGGCCTTGTGCTGTTCACCCCCACGGTTCTCCTGCTCACTGAGCTTTATTTCCTGCCACAGCCTGGTTGAAGAAGGCTCCTGGACTGTCTGGCTTCCCAGTGCCAACAGAGAAGCCCTTCAAGGCAGGGTTGAATTCCCGGAGGATATCTGGAAATACAAGGAAGAGACATGCAATGGTAACTACCCCAAAGCAATCTTCATGTTTCTCTGATAAGCTCCAGTGGGAACTGGGGACAAATCAGAGCCCCCACCCCATAACCTTTACCTCAGAGGTTTCACTAGACTCTGAAATCAAATGTTCAGCAGGTAAATGCTTAATCACACCAGCAGCACACAGACTGTTTGGCTTTGAGTTGATTCTGACTCATGACAACCCCACACATTTCAGAGGAGAACTGAACTCCATAGGGTTTTCATACCTGTCATCTTTTGGTCACCAGGCCGACCTTTCTTCCCACGTGCCTTTGTGTGGGCTAGAAGGGCACTGCTTTTGGTTAACACCCAAGAGCTTAACCACTTGTACCACCTAGAGAATCTCAGCAGCACACAAAGTCCACTGCCATGGCGTTGACCATGATGACCCTATGTCACAGAGTAGAGCTACTCCGTGGGAGTTTCCTGGCTGTAATATCTATGGAAGAACATCACCAAGCTCTTCTTGCCTGGCACTGCTTTAGGTTGGTAGCCAAGCACAATATGCTTAAGAAATTAAGCACTGCTGCCCGGACTATGCAGCACAGATGAACTGGATGTATTCTTTGTGGCTTAGGGGGACATTGCAGCAATGGATGGAAATTCCTCTGATTTCTAATTAAGAGTACGAAGAACTAAAACCCAGAGCTATCTGAAAATGGAGCAGGTTGTCTTAAGAGGTGGTAGGCTCCCCACAAGTAGAGCCTAGAGGAATCTGCGTTGACTAGTTAGTGACTTACCAGGAATGCCACAGGACTTCACTTGTGTGTAGATGCAGAAATAAAAAAGGCAGGGAGTACTTGTGGCACTGAACTCTACCTACTTGAATTCAACAGAATTTGTAAATGGCAAAATACAACAAATGTTGTGACAAATGTGAAGTCTGATCAGTTCTGCCTATGTGGAGATTACGTTAGCCTTGGCAAAATGACAAACCATTTGAGCTTGGTTACTAACCTAAAGGTTGGTGGCTCACATCTACCCTGGAGTGTCAGGGATGAAAAACCTGGTAACCTACTTCCATAAAGATTTGTTGTTGTTGTTAGGTGCCTTCAAGTCGGTTCCAAACCATACAGATCCTATGTACAACAGAGTGAAACACTGTCCAGTCCTGAGCCATCCTCACAGTTGCTTGAGCCCATTGCTGCTGCTTCTGTACCAATCCATCTCTTTTGGGGTCTCTGACTTTTCCCCTCTTTTTCCATAAAGATTACTGCTAGGAAAGCATAATGGAGCAATGTTGGCTTGTTAAACATGGGTTGCCATGATTTGAAATCCACACAGTGGCATGCGTTTGGGTTTTAGATCATCACAAACTTGGTAACTTTAATTTAAAGGATCTCTTCACTGGTATGGTGAACAGCGAACTGCAAGGTTGGTTCAAACTCACCAGCCACTTCTTGGGAACCTTACACAGGGTTGTTATGAGTCAGAATGGACTTGATGACACTTAACAACACAACAACAAAAAGATATATTACAAAGGGATTTACTCAATAAAAGTAGCTGAGAGCAGGGCCAATTAAATTCCTGTTAGGTAAAATTATTACTCAGAAGACTTTAAGGGAAAATAAGGGAATTTCAACATTTATTGCATGTGTGCTTTAAGAACAAGCACTGTGGCATATACCAAGGGGAATAAAAAGATGAGTAGGACAAGACCCTTTATAGAATGTAGTGAGGCTTTTTAAAAATTACTCCAAACAGGTTGCTGGTAAAGTAATTTAAGGACAATGTTTAATCTCAAATGTGGCTGTGCTTGCAGAGCCTGAACAAGATAACCTTATCTTTTACAGCTGCCGTAGCAGCGTTTCATAAAGCAACACATACGAACTTGACATCTGTGTAGTATGTTATCCAGCGCAGAACACACCTAGCTCAATGCCTCCCGCATCAGACAGAAATGGGTTTCCTTGTCTTCTTTTTTGAATCATTTCTTAATGATTTGTATTAAAATTTAGTCTAGACTTTCTTTTTTTCCCTTATTTTCTTCCTTCCTTGGACAAATAACAATTCCTTTTTTTAAAAAAAAAATAAAATCTCCAAAGCTTTAATCATTCCCAAGAAGTAGAGGTGCAGCCTCTGGGAAGCAGCGTCCCCTACTGCGCCTGATGGTTCCTGCCGCCTGTGGTCCCGTCTCAGCCCAGCGTACGCCTCTAGGGGGAGCAACCGAAACGCGCAGATTCAACTCCTGCCTGCCGGCCGCCAAACCAACCAAAAAGCATGTATGTACTCACTTGCCAGGGTGATGACTGTGCTTATGTTTTGGTCTCCGCCGACACTATATTTTTTTTTTTTGGGGGGTGGGAAACAAAAAAATAAACTTAAAACATCAGAGAGGCAGAAACATTTTCGGACACTACCAAGAAGACAGACCTGTCATCGGAAAATCAAAATGAAATTCCTGAACCCTATGAGGTTGGAACTTGCCTTTTCCCTCACTATTCCAGTAAAAAAATGGAAAAACAAGCCCGAATACAGTAACTCTGCACAAACCTGAAAACTTGATTTAAACTGTAACTGCTGATTTTCAATAAATAAACTTGGAGCTCTGACACTGGAGCCGGGTAACCAAATGGGCCCTTTCACCTCTCTCTTCCAAAGAGAAAGTAGGTGCCCTGTGGATGCACAGTCCAGCCCTAGCGCCTGATGAGGCACTGCTGCTGTGCATTATTAATTGAAAACACAGTTTAAAAGTCTCATCTCTCTCTTTCTCTTCCTCTTTGGCTTGGGGAAGCTCGTTTTTTTCAAAGGGGGTCTTCAACACAGCAAGTCCTCTTCCAGGACAATACTAAAATGCAAAGAAGATCCAAGTGTGATAGATTTCTAGGCATGAAAATGTGCAGCATTCCAGAGTTGATTGGATTCTGAGCTTTTCCATCTCCCCTTGCTGTGTGCCAAGCACGCCTGGGAACACTTTAAAAGCTTTCAATTTCAAAATGTTCGCTGTTTAGTTCTGTGCAGCAACACGAGGGAGGGCACCAAAGCTTCTGTACTTGGGTTTCAGCTGGTGCCAGATGGAGATGCCAAATTCCAGGTTGAGGAAGCACCACACCTGCCCACCCATACTTGGCACAGGTTGGGCTATCAAAGCACAGAGGTATAACTTGAGTCATGCTCATGTAGCTGTGGCAGCTTGGGTTTGACTCTAGTCAGAGCTGGAACAAGCCCACGTGAAGCAAAGCATGATGGGGACAAGCGCCAGATAGGGAGTCATGAACCATCTGCTCTGTTTCTTGCTCTTTTACCATCTGACTGTGTGATTCTGAACAGGTTACTACCCCTCTCTAAGCCTTGTTTCCCCATCTGTAAACTGAAGTCTCTTTAAAAATGATGTCAATTACCTTGCATGCCTATTCTGTGTCAGGTCCAGTGTGGGTACTCAAATTCTGATTTTCACTATGGAGTCCTTGCATAGTACAAACAGTTAATGTGCTTGGCTGCTAACTAAATGGTTGGAGGTTTTAGTCCACCCAGAGGTCCCTCAGAAGAATGGCCTAGCAATCTCCTTCTGAAAAACCAACCTTTAAAAACTTTGTGGGGACAATTCTACTCTGACACACATGGGGTTGCTGTGAGTCATAGCTAACCCCACAACAACTGGTACTGGTGATCCTCACTACAGTGCTATTGGGAAGGATTGTTACTCCTGTATGAAAGATGGGACAAAAAAGCTGAGAGAGGTTAAAAACTTGCCGGGGGACTCAGAATGCTGGGCAGCTCGCACTCAGACACAACTCTGGTACTGTAGGTCATAATCTGTCCGTCACTCAAGGCCACTACCCCTCTGAGATCCCCATCACAGAAGGAGACATGGAAGCTAGAGAAGCTTTTGCAGCCCTAATGTTGTTTCTCCCACAGGCTCCTCCTGCTTAGCTCCTGTTTTGTGTCAGGTAGGAGTCTGGGGAAGCTGATTAACATCTTCTTTAAATGAACCCAAGGGGGCTCATTCCTGCTTGGGGATCTATCTTCCATGAAGAGAGGTATTCCAGGTCTTACCACACTCACCTCCAGGACAGGCCTCGATACTGGGTCAAGACATCTAAGATGTCCCCAGGCTTGGACCCAGCTCCATTACCTGCCTGAAAGGGAATGACAAAGGAGTGAGTTTCCCGTGGTCCCATCTCTGCCTGCCTGCCTGCCAGAGCTCCATGTTCTGATCCTGGCCAAGACCACATGGGCATGCTCTAGAATCTGGAATCTAGATGGTACTAAGTCTTTCAGAGCTGAGTGAGAATGCCCACTGGGAATGCCTGAGTCCTGGCAGAAAAATGTGGAACAAAACTCAAAATCATAAAAAAGACCAAGCTTACTGGTCAGATAGAAAATGATGGAACCCCCAAGACTATGGGAACTGAGTCCTGCAGGCCTGGGAACTGAACTTAGCCTCGTGGCTCAATTTTCAGCCAAGCTGGAGACAGATCTATTAGGGGAATATTAACACTAAGGAGACATTTATTCCTTAGAATACCCAACCATTGAGATTAAAAGGACAGCATTTATCTAAGGACAAAGTTCAGAAGGGTTGAAGAAAAAGGAGGAATGAAAATGGGAAACACAAGGAGGAAGTAGGGTAAGCGACGTTACATTGTAGGGATTGCAATCACATGAGATGAAACAAAATGTACGTGAATTGTTGAATGGAAAATGGATTTTGTCTGTAAATCTTCACGCAATTCACAATAAAGCTTAAACAAACAAACAACAGAACACCCTGCCTAAACCAAGTTCAGGTGAATCCAGGCTAGAAAAAGTATTCCGAAAATTATATGCTGGTGTGTATTTTCAACAGGACACATTTCAGGGTCCTGTTTTCCTCATTTTTAAAAATTGTAAAGCATTTCAAAGACTTTTAGAGAAACACATTTCACATACATACAGCTTTCGAAAATAAATCATAGTAAAATCAAATCCCATGTGCCCACCACATAGCTGCAGGAACAGCATCTTTCCAAACCACAATATGGACCCATTTTACAGGTTTACTACCATCGCCCATAGCCTATTATTTCTAGCAGGGTTTTTCCAAAAGGGGTGAAGGATGACCTCCAGGGAGAAGCCTCCCAACACCCCCACCCCCGGCCAAGAAGAGATCCCTACTCTTTGCCAGTATGTTTCACTCAAAGTGAGCCGCCCCCCGCCAGCTGTGCTGATTCTAGATGAGAGTTTTAAAGGGGACTATGAAGCTGGCTGGAGGCGTATCCACTACACCCAGCAGAAAGCGGTTGGAGCAACAGTGTGGACCAGCTTAAGAATTAGACTGCTTGTCCTTCCCTGAAGGTTGTGAAGAGTAGAGCCTCTGGGGTCAGGAGATACTAAGATGTCATGGAGGATCCAGCTACAGTTCAGGGGTCAAATTCTGGGCTCAGTGTCAGAATCCCAAGTTCTTGTCCTGGGTCCAGCACTTATAAATTGTGTGCCCTTGGGCCCTCCTTTGTCTCTACTAGCGTCAGATCACCTTCTTTATTTGTTAATTTAAGCAAAGTCATTGAGTGAGGTAATGTGAAAGTGAACAGGCCACCCACAGGTGTCACCAGCTGGGAGGATTTAGCTGTAGGCCCTGAAATCTACTGACCCAGAGAATAGCTGGATTAGTCTATAGTAAATTGCTACAGAATGAAAAGTTGGTGTCTGGGAACCTCTGGAACCTGATAGCCACGTTCTTTGTGGAGGTGGGTTTGTATCATCTTTAGTACTCTTACCCCTTCCACTGACTCCTGCTTTCTCACAGTGACCCCACTAGCACTTGTTCCTATATCATCAACTTTGCTCCTCTCCTTGATACCTCCCATTCGATTGCTACATGGACAAAACTTTGAAGGACCTAATTAAATCCAGCCCCCAATATTGATAGGCTGTGGAATTTGGGGTGCTACCTGCTGAGACCCCTCCACTTGTATAAAGACAACCTGCTCTTTCCTTTATCCCAACATTAGTAGAGGAAGAGGAAGTTGGAATGGAGCTAGGCGAGGAATAAATACTACCGGAATCTAGGGTAGGTGAGGTGACAGAGAAAGAGTTCAGGGGCAGGGAGAGCAATGTTAACAAGGGGGAAGTGAGATTTTTCACTTTCCAGGGTCTCATCACGATCAAGATGGTCTCTTCTCCCATCTCCCTTCCCACACTCAGGGTCACTTACAGTGAGAGAGTCACCCAGGGCTCCGATGACTTTGATGTCAGCTGGCTTCAACCTATGAACTGAGAATACATACAAGCAAGAGTGAATAGAAGAGTGGGATTCCAGGAAAGCACTGGACTGATCTTCTCTGGAAACAAACAAAGACCTTCCAGACAAACTGAGAGGTTTTTAATAGCAATTTCATGTGGACAAGAGAGATTAAAAGTTCATCTTTGACAATCAGACTCAGCACTGCCAGTCATGGTGGCTGATTGCTGATCTCCTCCCAAGGGCAACTGGAGGCTGTCACTGTTTTATAAGAGCCTGTTTTAAGAGGGGACCTGTTTGCTGGCAATTGGCGAGACCTGACAGACACAGGATAAGCAATCCTTTCCAGGGCAGGAACGAACCCTTGCCAGTGGGATTTGGGAGTAAGGAAGGACTTGAAATGAAGATGCAACTATTAGTTAATCTATCTCAGGGTTTGATGATAGTTGGAGTAGGTTATTATATCACCCTATGAAAATCAGCCCAGTTCCTTTAAAGAGGAACGGAAACTGGCTTTGTATCACCGACACTATTTTTTATCCCTTGGGTTTCCAGCATGTACCCTGACATGACTGAAAGGTTATTTAGCAATATGACAAACATATTGAACACCAAGCAACAGGATTGGTGTTTTGGTACCTAGACAATGATCAGAAATGGGGAACATGCTCAAGAAACTCATAAAATAAGCAACATCCATAGTCAAAATACAAAGTATAGAGTGATGCACACTATGAGAGGCATGTATAAAGTGGTATAAAATTCTTGAACTGGGAAGATGCCCACCCTCAAGGGGGGCAGGGATGGGCAAAGGTGGTTCAGAGCAGGTATCATAGGGAATGTTGTTATTGTTACATGCCATTGAGTCGGTATTGACTCATAGCAACCCTATGCATAATAAAATAAAACACAGCCCAGTCCTGCGCCAACCTCACAATCGTTGCCACAGTTGAGCTCATTGTGGCTGCTACTGTGCCAAACCACTTCATTGGGGGTCTTCCTCTCCTTCTCCAACCCTCCACTTCACTTCATGATATCCTTCTCCAGGAACTGGTCTCTCCTAAAAATATGCCTGAAGTATGAGAGACAAAGTCTGGCCATCCTGGCTTCTAAGGAGCATTCTGGCTGTACTTCTTCCAACACAATTTTGTTTGTTCTTCTGGAAGTCCATGGTACTTTTAATATTCTTCTCCAACACCACAACCCAAATGCATTAATTATTCTATGCTCTTCCTTATTCACTGTCAAACGTTAACATGCATATGAGATTATTGAAAAAAAAAAAATGGCTTGGATCAGGTACACCTTAGTCCTCAAACTGACTCTTTCTCTCTCTTTTTTTTTTTCAATGTTTTATTGTGAATTATGTGAAAACTGACATCTTTGCTCTTGAACACTTAGAGGTCTAGTGTAGCAAGATTTGCCTAATGCAATATGTCATTTGATTTCTTGACTGCTGCTTCCATGAGTGTTCATGGTTGTTCCGAGCAAAATGAAGTCTTTGACAACTTAATCTTTTCTCCATTTATATAGATATTTTATATTGGTCCAGTGGTGTGGATTTTTGTTCTTTTTTACATTGAGGTGCTGTCGGCTTTGATCTTCATCATTAAGTATTTTAAATTCTCTTTGCTTTCAGCAAGCAAGGTGGAATCATCTACATCTCTCAGGTCATTAACGAGTCTTCCTCCAATCCTGATGCCATGTTTTTCTTCGTATAATCCATCTTTTCTAATTATTTGCTCAGCATACAGATTGAATAAGTATACTGATAGAATACAACTCTGGCGCATACCTTTCCTAATTTTAAACTATTCGGTGTTCCCTTGTTCTGTTCAAAACAACTGCCTCTTTCTTGGTCTGTATATAGATTCCTCATGAGCACAATTAAGTGTTCTGGAAAACTCATTCTCTGCAATGTTGTCCATAGCTTGTCATGATCCACCCAATCAAAAGCCTTTGTTGTTAAGTGCCATTGAGTCAGTTCCAACCCATAGCGACCCTGTATAGGGTTTCCTAGGAGCGGCTTGTGAGCTTAAACTACTGACCTTATGGTTCAAACCAACTTTGCAGTCCAGCGTCCACAGTGTCACACCAGGACTTCAAAGGGAAGGTAGTATTTGAATTAAACCTCATCATGAGATGAGGGTGAGGGAATGAGAAATAGGGTTATTCCTGAGCAGGAGATAGAGAAAAACGCTAAAGGTACATCGGAGTACAGTAAGGCATGTGATGTCTATATGGAATAACTAGTTGTACAGTTTGGTTGATATGATGAGTATACAAGGAAACTAACCCAATAATACTGGAAAGGTAGGTTAGGGCCACAGGTCTTTTATGTCTGGCTAACAAAGTAGTAGATTAACATCAGTATTATTATATGGCATGTAAATACTTACCTACATATATCTGGACTAAATCTATCTACCCCTTTATCTTAAACACATATGTATCCAAGTGCATTTAGGGACCACATATATAATTGCTTTATCATAAGTAGCTTGCTCCCCTCAAATCACAAGCTCCCTTGCACTTCTAATGCCTCACTCCCATTGACACCGTACTTTCTCATGGTGCCGTCTTCTCTCTCAGATGCAATGGTTGCTAGTGTTGCAATACTGTGCCAAATTGTCAAAATAACTTGTGTAACTTCAAAGAAGTGAATACAGAGCTTGTACCAGGGAATAGCCCAATCCCCAGAAGAAGGAACTCAGCATTACAGCAAACTATTGCTTAAGATGGGAAAACTGCAACTTGTCTGCAAGAAGGCTTTCTTAACAGTCCTTCTTTGCCAAGAGACTCCATCAAGCATGCAGCGAGACACAGAATAGGCTGCTTTCAACATGGCTGGAATACTTATAACCCACTGCACCCACTGAAATCCAAACCATGGTTGTATAATTATATCTGCTCAGTAAGCTTTATTAACACTCTAAAAATGATATTCAAAGTCATCTCTAGGTCTCGTATCCTTCCATGGAGACATCTTGTCTACCTGACTTCCATGCTGCCTGTAGACATGGAACTGCCACTTATTCCCATTGTGGCTGTGCTGGCATTGGAAAAGTAAATGTCCATTGTGCTGCCAGTCCTACGTACATAGTTGAGTGTATGTGTGAGAGTGTGGGTGTGCAAAAGATATAGATTAGTGGGTCTTGAACAGGTACCAGAATCATCTGGACAGTTTGTTAAAATACATGTTACTGGTCCCCTTTCCCAGAGTAGCAGGTTTGAAGTGGGTCCAATAATTTGTACTTCGAACAAGTTCCCAGGTGATATTGCTGCTGCTGGTCAGGGTAGCATAGTTTGAGAACTACTGATAAAGTTTTGTGTCTGCTTTGAAGCTGTTGACAGTGGTCAGTTTCTGCAGCTGTATTGTAAAGAACAGAATACTTCCAAAATGGCTTTCTACCCTTGGTTCATGCAGTCATAGCTGCCTTTGGAAAACTGGGAGCTCTACCTCTTAGATTTGAGAGTCACTAAGGTTCTTTCTTTAGAGTTCTACCTACTTTCCAAACGCCATCTGCATTATTCACTCCTATGCACACATGTGCATGCACATCTATACCATTACACATGCTTACAGCCTTCTGGGCCCTGACCCACCCAGACTTCTACAGCTACAGAATGCTATCAGAAGAACAATATCAAAGCACAAAGACAGCTACATACATTAGCGTGGTGCTGTGGGTTAATGCGCTGGACTGCAAGGTCGGTTTGACCTGCAAGGTCTAAAACTTTAAAATGGTCTCTTCTTAAACAAGTTAGACTCTGTGCAACAAAAGGCAACAGAATGAAAAATAAGATGCATCCCCCTCAACTCTGGGGTGGTTTATTTTAGCTGCTGGTGACGTCAACCACCAAGCTACCGTTGCCCTCACACATGATACAGTGAAGTCTGTGAACACCAGCTAGCACGCAAAACCAAACCCAATCCACTGCTGGTGAGTGGTTCCAACTCATAGAGACCCTAGGGACAGAGTAGGACTGCCTCAGGGGGTTTCCAAGGTTGTGAGTCTTTACGGAAGCAGACCGTCACATCTTTCTCCCACAGAACAGCTGGTGAGTTCGAATTGCTGACCTTTTGCTTAGCAGTCAAGGGCTTTAACCACTGCTCCACCAGAGGTCCATAGTAGCAAAGATTAGGGGAAATTTTGGGAACTGGTAAAATGTAGATGAGATGGATAGCTGTTCCTTCAAAAGCATATATATTATGGTCTGTTAGGCTACTGAAACTTGGCATTCCTGTTCCCCATGTTTATATTAGACAGATAGGAAACACAAACATACAGTGCGTGTACACATGTATGTGCAGAGAGATTGATTTTTAAGACAGGGGGAGCAGAGTTCTCCTGTTGGAGGTTTTGAAGGATTTCCTGCAAGAGATAATAAGCCAAGTAAACCAGTTGAAGGTGGGAGGGATTTGGCTTATCTGAGATTTTACTGTTTAGATAGAGCCTGACACAATTCATTGATTTAATGTCCTGTCGACCTTGCTTTGAGGTTAATGTCATCATATATGACAAAAACACAGCCTAGAAATGCAGCAAAGCACTTTAGCAATGGCTTTCCTTGAAGGGGAAGAAAAAAAACAAACAAACTCAAAACCAAACAAGTACTTAGCGATAAGATTAAATTTGTGTGGGTTGATTAGGTGAACATTATCTGGTACAAACTGTCCACCACCTTGAAAAAAAGTTGATAAACACAGCATTAACTCATCAAGATTTCTAAGGAGGGGACCGCTTATCAGAAGGCCATCCAAATTATGATGACATATCAAGGAGAGCAAGGAAATTGGACACTAGAGTCCAGAATGGGAAAACTGCTTGCTTCATGAAAAGTTACACCCAGGAGAAAGGACTAGACACGCTGCTGCTCTGTTATGTGTAACCCAACAATGTAAATTGCATGGGGCTGTAATCTGAAAAACCAACTTTCTCTCAATTGTCAGCTAGGGTTACCCAACCCATTTATGGTCCCCGATGATAGGGATATGTGTAGAGACCTTCCTCAATCACAGGTTGTGAAC